CTATTTAACTATGTATTTGCTGACATTACTTAATTTTTAAACAATAGCCAATCAAGAGAACAGCACCTGTTGCATGTCTATTTCTAAGACAAGTTATTGATATTGAGGTTAATATGATCTGCAGGCGATTATATCATTGATGATAATGACAACTCGCCCTACGATCTAAACACTTTTGGGTTGGGTCTGGCTCTGACTCTGGATCTTGTCCATTGTTTAGCTAACCCTATATACATATATATATATATATATATATATATCTGAATATATATAGCTATAGCCTAGTGCTTGTATATGGGCAGAGCTGCTTGGAACTTGGAAAAACGCTGCCGCCTCTGTCAACGTGTTTGGCATTTGCAATTAGACACAAACACACAGAGAACTGGCAACAAAAAAAAAATTAAACAAAATGTAGAGAGACAGAGAAACAAACGACAACAAGCCAGCCCCGAAGAAGCACAAGACCAAGAAGGAGAAGGTTGGCTCAAAAGGGGGAGGTGCCGTCATCAACGTCGTGCATGCCAGGAATTCAATATGCGATAAGCTCAGAATGCGTTTGGAATTTGACTAAAGTTCTCCATTTCTGAGTACAAAACAAAAAAAATAGGTGGAAAAATGACTAACAAATAGGAAAATAGTTACAGAAAAAAGAGAAAACTATTATAAACAAAAATTAAAATTAAAATTAAAAATTTTAAAAAATTAAAATTAAAACTGAGAATAATTCAAGTCGGCGTTTAGAAATTTCTAGATTTTTCAGGAATATATTTTGTATTTAATTTAATATTTAAATTGTTTATTTTATATTTAATAATTAATGAAACATAAAATTAATTAAAATTTGTGGAGTTTAAAAATCATCATCACACACATTTTCTCTTGTGTAAAAGTCAAGTTTTTAGTTTAATGAATTTTATTTGTATTCCATTTGTTATCGTTTTGTTTTTGCTTTTTGCCTTTTGCCCTCTTGCCTTTATGTGTAGTTTTCCATAAACAACAAGTTAAACGCCCATGGCAAAAAGGGTTAAGTAAGGGGGACACAGGGGATAGGTAAGGGGCACCCTATACCTTATACCTTATACCCACTTGAGGCTCGTGGGCGTAGCAATAATTTACAATCCATATCAACACAAACACGCTTTTACTCAGGTGACACCCGCATTGCCACAAAATACAACAAAAAAATAGGAAAGGAAGGGAAATAAGCTTGAAGACAACTTCTTAAAACACTTTTATATTCTTTTAATTTTTTTAAATAATTTGAAGTTTTCTAAAGACATATTTTTATGGTAGTATTAAAAGGGACTCTTTAAATTTGTAATTGTTTTTGGAAAATCCCATCAAATAAATAACAAAACAACTTGGGGTTCATCTACCCGATTAACCGGCAAGCCCGTAAAAAATAAAAAAAAATAAAAAAAAAATCCATATGTACACAGAGGGCGCGAAAAAATAAAAAATATATTACGAATTCTAGACGACAAACTTCAACGGATCGGTTGGTAGCTTCGCTTTGTTGGCTTTGTCATGCACAATTTACATACATCTAGTATAGTAGAATGCACAGAGAGAAATTACATAATATTCATAATTTTCAAAATGGGAATATATATTTTATTGATACCTAATTATATTTTAAAGTTTTAATATTTTTTAAAATATTAGATACAAAGATGAACCCAAATATTGGCATCAAATATAAATTTAAATAAAATAAAATTTATTATTATACATACCATGATTAAGGTACAACTTATCATCTTTATTCATTCTTGTTTAATTTTGTTTAATTGTCTTGTTTAATTGTCTTGTTTAATTTTATTTAATTTTTACACACTTTTTACACACACTTTTTACACACACTTTTTACGCAAACTTTATTAGCTTCATTTTATTTTGTATTATTATTTCCTCACTTAAAAAAAAAAAAAAAAAATGAAATAATATTTATTATATTATTTATTCACTTAAGAAAAAAAAAAAAAAATAAAAAAAACAAATAATAATATTTATTCATATTATTAATTCACTTAAAAAAAAAAAATAAAAATAAAAAAAATGAAATAATAATACTTATTTACATTATTTATTCACTAAAAAAACACACACACGCACTACTTTAAAACACTGCTTGGATAATTGCTCCCTTATATTCACAAATTTTCGTTCAGTGATCAAAGTGATTTCGTTTTATTTGTACAAGTACTTTTCCTCCGCTTTGCTTTGACTTTTTTACTGATGCTATGTGCTCTTTTTTTTTAGATGTACTCGTCGTATATAGTATGTATATTTTTCTGTGCGTTTTTACGACGCATTTCGCGCTAGACGAAATCGGTGGAAGCCGCCGATTTCAATGTGCTTTTGGGGGGGGAGGGCATAAATTTTAAGGTTCAGCCGCATCAGTATGTATGTTAATCAATTTACGGTAAAGGATAAACCGTCCATTGAACCCTGAGAAAGAGATAGAGATAGAGAATAAAAGAGAGTGAGATAGAGATGGTTGAGATTCGGTGTAATTAGTAAATTGCCCTTACAGCTTAGCTAGAAAAATTCTAATTGCCAGCGGTAAAAAACAAAGCTGTTGTTGTTATTTCTCGCTTTACCTTTTGTTTTAATTGCTGTTAGCTCGAGGTCAATGTTTGTGTTTTTTGCTGGATTTTTTTTATTGTACAACTTCAATTGAAATTCATTTCCTCATGGCAGCAACACAAAAAAAATAAATAAAGAAATACACATGCCTTTTTCGCATTTCATTTTCAAGCTTGAGCACAACAAAACAAGCAAAACTTAAGCTCAAACATGTTTGGCGAGCGAGCGAGTGAGTGTGTGTGTGTGTGTTGGTGTAATTATAAACATTTTACAACTCGCCTTGACCTTAACACAATAAAATAAATTACAACTATGGCAATACACAAGTGCAGGCTTTGTAACATGTAGAACGAATGTAGAATCGACTTGGGCGTGTAAAAAGCGTGCGCATAGCTACACAGTTTTTTTTTACAAATATTTAAGCTTGAGTTTTTTCTTGCAATGTAATTTTTGCCTTTGGCATGTGGGCGTGGCTTGTCGCTATTAACCCATTAATAAGTAAATGGCATGCCAGGCAGTTTACAGTCGTTTTGGAGGCGAATTCAAAGGGGGAAATATGCGTTAAATCGGCAAAGTAAACAATCAATTATATTCGAATTTACAGGTGAACTTGACTAGAGTGATTTTTTGTATGAAAAAAATTTAATAAAATTTTATTTACATTTTCTTTTATAAGATTTTTATGTTAAATAAATATAAATATTATTTAAATTAAATTACGCAAATGTTAAGATCCAAGGCTGTTAAGTCAACAGCTGTTAACTCGACAACAGCAAGTGCATGTGTGTTTGTTGACAGTTAGAATTTATGCGACAGCGACTGCGCAGCGACTGCAGCTTGGCCATGACCAACAGAGCGAGATGGCACATGCGTGCTTGGCATTCGTAATTGCACACCTATGCAATTACCCTCTCCACTCTTCTCTCTCACACAAACACACACACACACACGTACGAAGGGCTTTTAAAAGACAAGAAATCTAATAGCAACAACAAGCTCACCCACGCTGGTAAACAAACACACATACATACACACCTAACAAAAAGCCTTGATCTTGATCGGAAACGACAACAACAATAACAAGTTACAAGCGCAGCTGTTGCAGTTGTCGTTGTTGCTGTTGCTGTTGCCGTTTTATTTACTGCACTTGTTTTGATTTAAAGCCAAGACTGCTTTTAGTGGCTTACCTTGTCTTTGCCAGTTTTGTCTTTGGGGGCACCTCGCACTTGCACTTGCAATTGGCAAAATGGCAATTTAATGGCCATTAAATCAAATCTGAAAAACAAAACAAAATAAAACTTTAAATTACATTTCAACGCCCACACACAAGGGGGCGCTTTCGGCACTACAAAGCCAAAGAACAAGGACAAAGAGAACAGGAGAAAATATTTGCTTGGCTTTTGATTCCAGTGATTCCTTTAATTTTACTGATTGCACTTGATTTTTTCATAGGTAGCGATTTCCCAAAGTTGTCATTTACATTTAAATGATTTAATTTGGACTTTTTTTTATGGGTTTTCACAGTTTTTTCCTCTCTTCGATCTTACCTCCTCCAGCTCCTGTTTTCTTCTAGTTCCATCTCTCTCCCACACTCAAGAGGACGCTTCGGCGTTAGGAAGCCAACGAACAAGTGCAAAAGGGAACAGGAGAAAATATATGTTTGGCTTTTGATTCCACTGATTCCTTTAATTTCACTGAATGCACTTGATTTTTTCATAAGAAACACTTTCCCAAAGTTGTCGTTTATATTTAAATGATTTATTTTGCACTTTTTTTGTGATTTTGCGCAGTTTTTTCTGCTCTTCGATCTCGTCTCCTTCAGCTCCTTCTTTCTTCTAGTTCAAGCCAACGAACACGTGCAAAAGGGAACAGAAGAATAATATTTTCTTGGCTTTTAATTCCACTGATTCCACTTATTTCTCTGTTTGCACTTGATTTTTTCATTAGAAACACTTTCCCAAAGTTGTCGTTTATATTTAAATGATTTAATTTGCACTAGTTTATAGTTTTTCACTAGGTTTTCTGCTCCTCGATCTTGTCTATTCCAGCTCCTGTTCACCTCTGGCCCTATTGGTTTTCAAGCGGGATGGCAGCTCTTTTGGGCTTTGGGTACAGTTATTCGGACATTCGAAGCTTTAGACACACACACACACACACACACACACACACGTACAGAAACGCAGATCTTTCGAAATTCGGCAGTTTACAGTTATCAAGCGAACGGCAAAGCGAGCGGACAATTAAAATTTATAAAAACTTTATTAGTCTCTCTTCTCGAAAGTTCTCTTAGTTTTAATAGTTTAATAAATTCAAGTTGTATTTCCTTATCTTATTTTCCTTATACCCTGTTGGGATATGTGAGTATTTGCATTTGATTAATTTCGATTTTCTCTTTCCTCTTTTTCTTGCAGAAAACTTTGCTGCCGAATTGTTGCAGCGCCTCAGCAACAACACCACCACCACTACCACCACCACCACCGAGAATATTGTTAATAATATTAGCAATATTCGCAGTAATAGCCCGTCTGTAAAAGCCACCACCTCCGTTTTAGCCACAAAAGACTGCCAAGAAAGCGCCGTAAAAGCAACAGCGATAGCAACAACAACGGCGAGTAGCATACCAAAGCAGGCGCACAAAGAGGACGAGGAAGATAGGGCGGAAGAAGAAGAGGCAGCAGCAGTTGCGAAGCAGGCAGAAGCAGAGCAAGAGAAGGCGGTAGAAATTGAAGAAGACGAAGAGGAGGAGGACGAGGACGACGAAGTGGATGTGGGCGTAGAGGCGCCGCGTCCTCGTTTCTACAATTCCGGCGTGGTCTTAACACAAGCCCAACGCAAGGAATACCCCAAAGAGCCCATTTCACCTGGAGTTTCCCCCCTCATCACCACCCACCGCCGATCCTCGCCTGCTTCTCGCTTGGATTCCAACTGTTGCGCTTCCGATTCCGACACGGATTCGGATGGCGGCTGCAAGCTAATCGTGGACGAGAAGCCACCACTGCCGGTGGATAAACCCTTATCGTTGCGCCTGCGTAGCACACCGCCACCGGCAGAGAAGCGTCCCAGTCCGCCGCCACCACGTGATCCAGCGCCGGCTGTTCGCTGTTCGGTTATCCAGCGAGCGCCGCAAGCCCAACAGCAGCAGCAGCAGCAGAGTCAGCCACGCGGTTCCTTCCTCCTGCCGCCGCTCGATCAGCTTGGGCCGGAGCAGCAGGAACCCATTGATTATCACGTACCCAAGCGACGTTCGCCTTCCTACGATTCGGACGAGGAGCTCAACGCCCGGCGACTGGAGCGTGCGCGTCAAGTGCGTGAGGCACGCAGACGTAGCACTATCTTGGCTGCTCGCGTCCTTTTGGCACAGTCGCAGCGGCTAAATCCGCGCCTGGTGCGCTCTTTGCCTGGCATTTTGGCAGCTGCAGCAGGACACGGACGCAATAGCAGCAGTTCCACCAATCAGGGCTTTCAATCCTCGGGTTTTGGCAGCCAAAGCAGCTCTAGTTCCGGCCAAGGCGGTGCGGGTGGCAATCAGGGTGCCGGTGCAGGATCACCAGGTGCAGGCAGCGGCAGCGGCGGCGGCGGAGGAGGGGGCTTTGGTCCTGGAGGCGGTGGCATGGGCGGCGGTCGTGACGGACGCGGCAATTACGGACCCAATTCACCGCCCACTGGTGCATTGCCACCGTTTTACGAGAGCCTTAAGAGCGGTCAACAGAGCACGGCCAGCAATAACACCGGACAGGGTGGGAATCATCATCATTTCAACGGGAATCCGGGAAATTTTCTCTCGATTCAAAACGCGGCAGCGGCTGCTTATATTATGTCGGCGGGTTCCGGAGGAGGAGGTGGCTCTAGTGGAGGCGCAGGTGGTGGTGGAGGCGGAGGAGCAGGTGGTGGTGGAGGCGGAGGCGGAGGCAATGGCTACATCAACTGCGCTGCTGGTGGTGGTAATAATCCCCCCGGCAATCTTGATGGTAATAATCTTTTGAACTTTGCCAGTGTTTCTAACTATAACGAGTCCAATTCCAAATTCCATAATCTTCATCATCATCATCTGCACCATCACAACAACAACAACAACAATAATAATAACAATAATGGAAACAACACACCCACATCCATGATGGGTCATCCCTTTTACGGTGGCAATCCCTCAGCTTATGGCATCATCCTTAAGGATGAACCTGATATTGAATATGATGAGGCAAAAATAGATATTGGTAGCTTTGCCCAGAACATCATACAGGCCACCATGGGCAGCAGTGGTCCCTTCAATGCCACCGCCTATGAGGATGCCATTATGTCGGATCTGGCCAGTTCGGGTCAGTGTCCAAATGGTGCAGTGGATCCTTTACAATTTACGGCCACTTTGATGCTCAGCTCACAGACGGATCATCTGCTGGAGCAGCTGTCGGATGCAGTGGATCTGAGCTCCTTTCTGCAGCGCAGCTGTGTGGATGACGAGGAGGTGTCGACGAGTCCCAGGCAGGGTGACTTTGAGCTGGTATCGACGCCCTCGCTAACGCCGGACTCGGTGTCGGTGACGCCCGTGGAGCAGCATGGCGGTAGCGGTGGTAGCGGTGGTCCTGCCGCCCAGCTGGATGCCTTGCATGAGAATCTGCTGACGCAGTTGACGCATAATTTGGCCAGGAATAGCAGCAATCAGCAGCAACAGCAGCAGCATGTACAGCAGCAGCAGCAACATGTGCAGCAGCCACATGTCCAGCATCAGCAACATAATGTGCAGCAACAGCAGCCACCGCCGTCGTATCAGCATGCCACACGCAATCTGATGATGCAGCAGCAGCCGCAACATGGTGGCTATCAGCAGCAGTCTAACCTGATTACGCAGCAGCAACAGCAGCAGCAGCTCTTGAACCAGCAACAGTCGCATCATGCCTATCAGCAACAGCACAATTTGTATGCCCAGCAGCAGCAGCAACATCAGCAACATCAGCAGCAGCAGCAGCATCACTTTCATCACCAGCAACAGCAACAGCAGCAGCAACATCACTCGCTTCATCATGGCCATCATGACAATAGCAACATGTCGTTGCCTTCGCCAACGGCAGCAGCTGCGGCGGCTGCTGCTGCTGCGGCCGCTGCTGCTGCAGCAGCAGCTCATTTGCAGCGACCCATGAGCAGCAGCAGCAGCACTGGCGGCTCTAACAATAGCAGTAATAGCAGTGCCGCAGGCGGCGGCAGCAGCAATAGTAGTGCTGCACCATTGCTAGATGCTAATGCAGCAGCAGCAGCAGCAGCCGCTTTGCTGGACACCAAGCCACTCATTCAAAGCGTAAGTACTACCACAAAGTCACACTCGATCTCTAAGCAAACACAGCAGCAAGAAGAACAGCAGCAACAGCAAAAAGAACAGCAACAGTCAGAGCAACAGCAACAGTTTCAGGATCAGCACAAGCAAATAACCTTGATGACCACCACCACCACATACACAGAGGTTGTGGAAATGGTTTCCGTGGATTGTCTGGTGGTCAAACCCGAGGTAGAGTCTCAGGTGAATTCGGAGGAGGTGAAGCCCCCCGATGAGCCTCTCATCGAAGAGTTTATAGTCACTGGAATAGCAGCCGAGGAGGAGTTGCCGACCAAGATGGAGGCATTGTCACCTGCACCCCTAACCACCACATATACAAAACTGAAGCCACCACCAACAACAACAACAGAAACGCGTGAGAAGGGCGGCAGAAAGATGCGCGGTGGCCGGGCCAAGGCTGTGGCCTATGGCTCCACCATTATCACCATGATATCCACATTGAAGCCCTCGCCGGAAGTGCCGGCCACTAAGACCGTGCATCGGACAACGTTGAGATCCTTGGCAACGGCGTCGGCGGCCACAGCAGCGGGTCTGATGGCGCCATCGCCCACGGTTTCGGTGTTGAATGAATGCAAGGTTTTGCAGCGGCGCGTAAGTGGGAAAGAGTCTCGAAAAGGGTGCAGTTTTTGAAGGTTTTTCTTGGTTAGGGGGAGGTAGGGTTCATTTTCAAAAATTAATAAAATAATAACACAAAAACTAAATAGATTTTTTTAATAAAAAATGCGAAAATATTGCGACAAAAAATGAAATATCTTTTATAATTAAAAATTAGAACAAAAAAATAAATAAAAAATACAACAAAAATTACAAAATAAAAAAAAAATTTAATAAAATATAAAAAATATTAATTTTTAATAAGAATTAAAAAAAATATTAATAAAAAATACAAATTATTAAAAAAATTAAATATATTAAATATTTAAAAATTACAAAAAATAAAGCTTAATAAAAAATTCCGAAATTATAATTAAATTATAATAATATAAAAATAAATAAAAACTTACAAAAAATTAAAATAAAGTTAAAAAAAAATTACTTTTTATTATAAAAAAAAATAGGAAAAAAGCATAGTAATAAAACAAGACAAATTAAATACCTTTTAAATTAAAAAATTACAAAAAAATAAAAATAATAATAAATTACTAAAAAAAAATAAAAGAAAGGTAACTTTTACCTTTTATAATACAAAATTACGAAAAAAAAAATATAAATAAAAAATAAAAGATTATAATAATAATCAAATGAAAAATTGTGATTTAAGGAAAAAAATTAAGTCAATAAAAAAAATAAAAAACAGTTAAACAATAAAAAATATAAAAAAAAAAAAACAAAACAAAAATTATAATAATAATCAAATGAAAAAATTTTAATTTAAGGAAAAAAATTGAATACCATTTAATATAAAAAATGTTAAAAATAAAAAATATTAAAAATACCACAACAAAATAAATACCTTTTATAATGAAAAATTACGAAAAAAAATAAAAATAAAAAAATAAATAAAAAATAAAAATATATTGAAAAAACACGAAAACAATTAAATATAAAAATAAATTAATTCATTTTATAAAAAAATAAATACCATACTCCACCCCCTTGAAGCTACAAAACTCCCAGAAATTAGATTTGCCAAGAACATGGCAAGATTTTGGGAGTTTATAGCAGGGAAAACCCTTCAAAAACTGTTCACCCGGCGACTCAAGTCTTTCAGCTCGTTTTGTAACGTCTACCAGCAATGTTGCCTGTGTGTTTTGTCCCCCTGCTTGTCGTAGTAGTTTGAATTTTGCATGTTGTTTTGTCTAAAATGTGTTTAAACTACTTTTTAAACCATCAATTAATTCTTTTTCATATTTATATTTTACTCAACAGTTGGGACTGCCGCCGGATTTGCAGCTGGAATTTGTGAACGGCGGACATGGCATCAAGAATCCTTTGGCCGTGGAGAATGCCCATGGTGGCCATCACCGTATACGCAACATAGATTGCATTGATGATCTCAGCAAGCATGGCCACCACTCTCAGCAACAGCAGCAGCAGCAACAACATTCGCAGCAACATTCACCGCAGCAGCAGCAGCAGCAAACCCTCCAGCAGCAGCAGCAGCAATCTTTGCAGCAGCAGCAGCAGCAATCCCTGCAGCAGCAGCATCATCATCACCATCATCAGCATCACAGCAACAGCAGCGCCAGCAGCAATGCCAGCAGTCATGGCTCTGCCGAGGCTCTGTGTTTGGGCTCCTCGAACTCGGGGGCCGCCGATGAGTCGAATGGCAACAACAAGTTCGTCTGCCGTGTGTGCATGAAGACCTTCTCGCTGCAGAGGCTACTCAACAGGCACATGAAATGCCATTCGGATATCAAGCGTTACCTGTGCACCTTCTGCGGCAAGGGCTTCAATGACACCTTTGACCTCAAACGGCATACGCGCACCCATACGGGCGTGCGGCCCTACAAGTGTAATCTGTGTGAGAAGAGCTTCACGCAGCGTTGCTCCCTGGAGTCGCATTGCCAGAAGGTGCACAGTGTGCAGCATCAGTATGCGTACAAGGAGCGCAGGGCCAAGGTGAGCATTGGGAGAAAGCTTTAATTATTAATTAAAATTAAAATTGAATTAAAATTAAAATTAAAGTTGATTAAAATTAAATTAAAATTAAAATTGATTAAAATCAAAATTGAAATAAAATTAATTAATTAAAATTAAAATTAATTAAAAATTTAATAAAAATTAAAATTAATTCAAATTTAAATAAAATCAAAAATATATAAATAATCAATTAAAATGAATTAAAATGTAATCACAATTAAAATGAATTAAAATTTAATCACAATTAAAATTTAATTAATTAAAATTTAAATAACAATTAAAATTAAAATGAATTAAAATTTAATTAATAAATATATTTAATTAATAAATATTTATTTTATTATAGATGTATGTATGCGAGGAGTGCGGCCACACCACCTGCGAACCGGAGGTACACTATCTGCATTTGAAGAACAACCATCCCTTCTCGCCGGCCCTGCTCAAGTTCTACGACAAGCGGCACTTTAAGTTCACCAACTCGCAGTTTGCCAACAATTTGCTGGGTCAACTGCCCATGCCCGTGCACAATTAGCGGGGGGCAGGCAGAGATAATAATGATTAAGGATCAAGGATCAAGGATTAGGGAATATATAAAATCAAACACAATGTGACTTTGAAGTTTTTTGAAAACTAAAACTGCCGCGGAAAGGAATTTTTGGAGATTAAAATGTATAGTTTTTTCTGAGCTTTAACTTTTAAGGCAATTTACAAAATAGTTATTAGTCTGTAAGCTAAACTCACTCACTTACTTACTTTGCTGTGCAAAAGAAAAACCTTAGCCTTCACCAACAACACACCAACAAACACACTTGAACCTTAAACTTTTAGTTTTTCTAGTTAAATCTTGAACTTTTCGTTTTAATTTTTTTTTGTATTAGTCAAAAAAGTTAATAATTAGATTTACAAAACTATATATATATAAATATATAGAAGCTGCTTTGAGCAATAACTAATAATGAATTATGTTTTAGCAAACCTTTGCATTTATTTTTTCCTTAACAAAACGAAAACAAGAAAAAGAAATACCTTTTTGGAATATTTACTTTATAACATAACATATCTATAAATATTTATTACAAATCATTGTAAAGAGAGAGGCAAAAAAACATTCGAATTAATTAAGAAACTAACTTAGGCCTAAGCTATCAAACAAAACAATCATGTAAACTAAAGCTGTTTATAAACACTGAAGTCAAAATCTTAATTATGTATACATAAGTTTATAATCTTATTGAAAAGGAACAAACAAATCAGAAGACACGTTAAATTGTGGTGAAAGAACAAAAAATGAAGCGAGAATATTAAATATTAACTTGAATATATATATATATAAACTATTTTGTAAGCATTAAACATTAAAAACTTAAGGCGTAGACCACCAATGTACTGATCTATAAAAAATGAACAAATCAAACATGTATTATGTTTAAGATCTTTGTAATTAAGTCGAAAAATTAACTTCTGGATTCGAATTTGAGCTTTTGTTTTCGGATTTATCATTATTTTTTTGCAAATTGACAATTTCTGTTTAATTTTTTGCATAAGAAAACCTAGTTTAAATTGGATTTTTTTTTTTACTTTATTTTTTAATTTGTTGTAAGCAACAACGGGTTTTTTGTGCAATCGCTTGGTGTTGGAACAATAAGAATACGAGATATATATAGAAAGAGATAGAGAGGGAGAGCAGAAGTGGGGAGAGGGGGGGCTGTGCACTGCGGCGCCTACAACCCACCGCCCGCTGTACAGCCTTCCCTTTGAAACCTTTTCCCTTGACAAAATCTTAGTTATAACTAGACAACTTTTCACTCTCACAACAACACACACACTCACACATATATAAATATCAAATCAGCACACACACAAACACAACATTTAACTAGATTTAGTTAGTTAGCTTAGGCGAAAATTTCACTGAAATAAAGGAAAATTTTTGATTTAAATTTAAAAAAAAAAAAATAAAAATCTCACACTTCCAAATGAACTTATTTTTTTTGGTTTCCACGAATTTTTGCACAAAATTTAACAATAAATGAGGTAAATGAATAAATATATATATTTAATATATGAAGAAATCGAAGATATCTGAAAACGAAAGAAAGTTTAATTTAGTTGTTAACGAAACAGTTTTTTTTTTTAAACTATCCATTATGTATACTATAAATATATAAATATATATGAGAAGCGAATTAATTAATAAACATTAAATATGACAAAAATAATTAACAAGGTTGTTTGTTTTATTAAGAAAATGGCTGGGAAATGGTATAAAATATAGCAAAAAATATATCGAAAATCAAAACAAGAGAAAAAATGAAACTAAGCCGAAGCTTGTATGCCCTTACAGTTTGGTAAAAGAATGATAAGTAAGTCAAAAAATATTTTTACCCTTGCAGGGTATTTTATTTCCAGTCCGAAGCTCATTACGCATTGAAGGAGTCATTTCCGACCCCATAAACCATATATATTCTTGATCAGCATTAACAGGCGCATCTTTCTGGCCAAGTCCGGAAGAAAAAAAATTTTGATCAGTTTTTTCAAAATTTTATAAGGGGTACCATCATTAAAATTCGCAAAATTTGATAAAATTTTCAATTTCTAACTAGGTATGCAGATTTGTTAACCTTATAAAAACTAACATAACACCGCTTTCCGAATGAAAATTAAGGCATTTTTGACAGAGTTATGCCATTTTTATACCCTTGCAGGGTATTATAATTTCAGTCAGAAGTTTGCAACGCAGTGAAGGAGACCTCTCCGACCCTATAAAGTATATATATTCTTGATCAGCATCAACAGCCGAGTTTATGGGGTCGGAAATGACTAGTTCACTGGTTTGGGAGCTTCGGAGTGAAAATATAAAGCACTTAAAAGTTAAATATTTATCCATAATCTTAGGTGATAATTTTTGGGAAAAGTATAACTTGGAAATATCATAACTCGGCTAAAAAAGCATTAAATTCAATTTGGAAAGCAGTTCCGAGTCAGTTTTTCTAAGGTTAATACAGCTGCATACTTCATTTAAAATTTTTAAAAATTAAAATTTTTCACAAATTTTGATGATGTAACCCCTCATAAAATTTTGAAAAAATTTTAAAATATTTTTTTTTCTTCGGACATGGCTAAATCGACTCGCGTGTTGATGCTGAACAAGAATATATATGATTTATAGGGTCGGAAATGATTTCTTCTAGCAAAAATTTAAAAATTACACTTTAAAATATAAATATTACTTAAAAAAAGGGAAATTTTTTAGTACCCCTGTTGATTCTTGATTCAAAGAAAAGTCTTGGCTTTTTTTGGTTTATTTTCAAATATTTTTTATTTTATTTATTTCGCTAGTTTCTTTATGTTTTTGGTTTTCATTTTTTATGTTCAGTGTTTTTTTTTTTTTTTTGTAGGGTTTCATTTAGTTTTTACAATTTTTTTGTTCGGATTTTAGTCCATTTTTTTTTTGTGTGGATCTTGTTGATTTTATTGTTAGGTTTTTGTGTTTTTTTTTTTACTTTTTGTGATTTGTTTTTATTTATTCTTTGTTGTTTTTCTTTACATTAATTACTGAAATACACACACAGACACGGAATTACAATAAAAACTAGATTGTTTTTGGTTTCTTTTCGGTTTAATGCGTTTCCTTTTCATCAGATTTCCATTCAAGTTTTTCCGTTTTTCTTCCACTTCCCTGTTATTATCATGAATTTGAATATATGTGTTTGTTATTTTTTATCTTTCATATTTCGAGTAGTTTTTTTTTATTGGCTTTGCTTTTACTACTTCGTTTTTGTTTTTTGTTTTTTTATTAGTTAAACTAAATTCTTTAAAATTTCCACTATTAATTGAAAACGAAAAGGAAAAGAAGGGTGTGGGGGGTGGGAAAACAGGGAAAGTAACCTTAATATGATTTTCTCTTTTTATATTTTCTCATTTTTTTGCAAGATGTTTTATGTAACTTTGTTTAATATGTTGAGCAAATTGCGCCAATTCATTGATCTCGATTTTTCTCGATTTTTTCTCGATAAATTCCGATTTTTTTTTTTTGTTTTTTTTACAATTCTATATATTAGCATATAGATATTTTATACAGATAGTTTGTATACTTTATCTGATATGAACCAACCACCCATTTGGGGTTTTAAAAAGTCAACAAAATCTGAAAATAAAATGATCGAAATTCGTTTAATAAAACAAAAGTTTTACTCTGACAAAAATATATATATTTTTCATTTGTTTTGTTGGTGTGTATTTCGTGTGTGTGTGTTAAATTATAAAGTAAAAGATCCATTAAATGTTTACTATTTAAATGAGAAATTAAAATGGTTAATTAAATTAAGTGTACTAAGATTAAATCGTTTAAAATTTAAAATTTTATTATGTACGACATTATTTTCTTTTTTTGTTGTTTTTTTTATTTATACACAAACTTAAAAGTAATAAAAAAATATATAGATATATATTCAAAATACATACAAAGTGCGGGGAGATGACATAGAACCCCCGGACTTGAGGGAAAATTATGGGTTTTCCCCTTAAAAAGTCAAAACCAGTTGTAAACTTTATATATTTTTTATTATTAAATTATTAAATATTTAAAAATGATTGTAAACTCGACTTGTCCAGGGGCATTATGTCATGTCACCAAAAAAAAAACATTTAAAAAAAACATAAAAAAATCATAAATATATATATATATATATATATAAACAAAAAATATATTTCAACAGTTTCCCCCAAAATCTCTGCCACACACATTGATTTAGTTAATTTGTTGTAATGATTTATGTATATATATATATATATGAATTCTTATGTTTTTTTTTCTTGTTGTTTTTATTGTGGTTTTCGCTTACATTCAATCTAAACACTAAAAACAGACACATTTCGTTTAATTTTTGCGCTTAAACTTCCTTCTCTTCTCATTTTCTTCTCTTATATATATTTTTTTTATTTTTTATGTAAACGTTTAGTTTGGTTTTTTTATGTGTTAAAAATGCTTCTAAAAATTGTTTACCATAATCTGTTTTGTTTTGTTTTTGTTTTATTGTACACGCTACACACATAATTTCTGGTTTATATTTTAATTGTTTTTTTGCATTTTCAAAAATTTGTTTTTCACATTCATTTAGCTTAGCTTTCTATAGTTTTTTTGTTTTGTTTTTTAGGGGGGGGTAGGGGATTACATAATACTGAAAATACGACTAGACATTCATAGTGTATAAATACGATTTGTTTAATTTACTTTACCGTTTTTTCTTTTCTGTTATAGATAATTTATTTAAATATATTTATTTGTGTTTATTTTATTTTATTTATTTATTTATTTATTTATATATATATATATATACTTTCGTGGGCTTTATGTTGTTCAGATTGAAATTGTTCGGTTTCTCGGTTTCGGTTTACTTTTTCTCTTTTTGTTTCCTTAATATTTCTCGAAAATGCTTTAAAAAGTCGTGTTTTTTTGCATAAAATTTTTACTTTTTACCTTAATTTTCGTTTTCTTTCTCTTTTTTAGATTCTTTAACAAATTCGTAACTTAAAAAAATTGGCTTTTCTTTTTTTTTTGTGCATAACAAATCGATTTTTTTTTCTTTTCTCCTTTAAAAATAATTATTTTCTTTTTAATTTAATGCTTATAATTTATTTGCTTTCTTCTTCGCGTTTAGATGATTATGTATGGTTTGTTTTTACTTAATTTTTGTTGTTAAATTTAGATTTGCAAAAAGGTTTACATACACACAAGGGGGGGAGACACATAGAAATTAGTTTTAAATTTGTTTCTTAGACATTTTTAAGGTACATTTATGTAACAAAAAAAATTAATATATATACTATATTTATAAAACATATTAAAAAAATAAAAAAAACAAGGAAAAAACAGACTAAACTGAGCTTTCAAGTGTTTAATTTTCAATGTGAAGAAAAGAATGTGGTGTTTGTTTTGGACTGTTTTTTTGCTTTACTTTCTTTCACTTTCTTCTCCTTTTTTTAATATTCTTTCAAGTTGTTTGTGTGTGTGTGTGTGTGTGTATATATGCCTATAAAGTTTACAATATTTTTTTTTTGTTTTATTAAATTTACTTTTTTTATTGCAGAAAATTTGGCCATCCAAGCCTTTGAACGGCCTTGGTTTACACTTAAAAAAATATTTCACTTTAGCTTTCTTCTCCAGTTTCCCCATATCGCGTCTCTCCTTTTTTTATTCTCCATCTTATTTAAGTTTTCTTTTTGTTTTTTTCCTTCAATATAATACAAAAAATTTGTTGTTGTTGTGTGCGCAGTCGTTGAGTTTAAATTTCTAAAAATTTAGCTTTGTTGTTGGTTGTTGTTGTTGGTTGTTGGTTGTTGTGTTACAAAGTTGTTGGGTTTTTGTTGTTAAACATTTCTTGATTTTCTCCTTTTTTTGTTGTTTGGTATATAAAATAGTATTTGTTTTTGGATTTGTTTTAAATCTTACAATATTTTCATTTTGCAAATGTACAAAAATTCACGTTTTTTTTTCAAGTTTTATTTTTTTAGTTTTAGTCAAAAAAGTTCTTTTAGGTTTTCTTGGTATTTCTTAACTGAAAAAAAGTTGTATATTTTTTTGTAATGATTTCACTTTTGGATTTCTCTCAGTGTGTGTGTGTGGGATGACCTTGAAAAGAGTAGTGTGTCTCTTGCCACCTGTTTTTTTTTTCCTGCTCAAAACTTAAAGGGGGGAGGGGGTACTGAATGTAGTGATCAAAAGGTTATCGGGCTTGTAATCGGTAATCGCTGGTTATCGATTTTGTACATCGTTCGTTATCGAACTCCTTCAACTCGTGCGGAAGACAAATCCGTAAATGATTCTTTTATTTTCTTTGTTTTTTTCTTGTAAATAAAAACATTTTTCTCTTTTGCGCGTGTTTTTCCTTTGAGCTTTTCCATGTGTCTGAGTGTGTGTGTGAGTGTGTTTTATGATTAACGGCTCTTGTTATAGTTATTTCTTTTTTTTTTAGTAACAAACAAAATGGCAAGCAACAACAATTAGAATTATATATTATTCATAAAAAAAGAACTCTCTTTTTGAAGCAAAAAAAGCAAAATAAATTTACAACAAAAAATGGTTAAATCAAAAAATATAAACACAAAAAAAAACTATTAAATCTTTCAACTACGTTTTACAATTCTTGGCTAACTTGTGTTTTTTTCTTTTCTTTCATTTTTTGTTATACACATAATAATTATATATTCTTTATATATATATATATATTTAATTAATTAATTTATATAGATTTATTACGATGCTGTTAACATTAAATGCTTTTGATAGAAGTTTTGTTGTCATTATGGATTTATTTTTTCTTCCTGCTAAAATTCTCTTCTACTCCTTCTTCGTCCTTCAAACGATTCCCATACCAGATGGATAATATTTTATATTATTTTTTTGTTTTTTTTATATAGTTTTTAATCTTTGCATTCTGCAAACTCATGAATACACAAAAGATTTGGATGTAAATGCAAATTAAAAAATGATTAAAAGTTAATGCTTAAAGATCAAGTAATTGTACAGCGGCTATATATAATATATATACTGTATTCTATATATATTATATACTTCGTATGCTTATGCAGTTTCGTATGTTAGTGGGTAAAGCTAAAGCTAAAGCATGCTTAGAGTCTACACAGAAATTAGGCTTATGCTTAGCTACAGATTATCTATACATATATATGCATATAGATATATCTAAATTTTAATGCAAATCATAAACATTGTGTTTCGTGTTTGTTTTTTGTTGGGAAACTTAGCAACTAATTAAGGAAACCACAAAAAATTCAGAGTCCAGACGTGGTGAGAGGTCAAGGTCAAGTGGGAGATTGCACATTAGAAACTGTTATACGGTCGAGAAGCTGTTATATCATCGAGTAACTACTAACTAAATATGGTTTTACAAATAATACAAATAAAAATCAAATTAAAGTTAAGGATCTTTGACAAAAAAAAATACAAATACTGCTTTTTAGGTAAGTGAAAACGGGGTCACGGTTAAGGGTTAACTGGTGGTTAAGTGAAAACAAACGGTTAAAGACCAAGGTTAAGCTCGAAGATAAGAAAAATTGAAGCATCTCCGGATTTGAACGTTTCGTTTTCATTTGTTTTTTACTTATTTTTTCTTTTTTTGGATTCGATTTCGGAGCCAATACTGAAGGATGCGTAGGTTTCAGGACATACATCGAGATATATTATGGTGGGCGCGAGATCTTTCCATATAGAGACAGCACATTGGTATAACACACACATTACTATAGTCCGTATAATATATATATCTATTAAATGTATAATACAATTTTCTCAACGTTACAGGAACTGAATTTAAAGCCGAAATCGAAATCGAATTTGAAATCGATTATTAGTTCAAAGAGATCAAAATGCAACACAACTAAAATTAGGGGGTTCTTTAGTGGTTTCTCGTTCGTCTCGTTACTCGTTACTCGTTACAATGTGCTGAGCGCCATACAGAAAGGTGTCTGGGTTGATATATATATATATATATAAATATATAATATACATATAAATGATATGTAATACATTATAATAATAAAAATAATAATTAAAATAATAAAGTTCTTAAAAAATTAAACAATTCGTGTTTCACATCAAGAGTTATACAAGGTAATTTTTTCTCTTTTTCTTCAAAAAAGATTTTGTGAGATTTTTAGAGCTTGGGGGGAGCTGGGTGTTTGATTTGCTTCTTTTTACACTCAAAAAAAAAGGGGTGGAAAAGTGAAATAGATCAGAGTGAGATAGACACAAAAAGAGAGAAAGAGTGTGTGAGAGAGAGCGAGAGAAAGAGATCTCACGAGAGCAACAGAGACAGAGAGACACACACAACTACAACAATTATGGTAGAAAAGAAGGTTACACACTGGGAGAAAAAGTTTCAACAGAAGCGAATTGGAAAATTTGAAAAATTATATATATTTTACACATTGATTTAGACTTAAGATCACCTTATAAAGATCAATCACGAGCGCAACACAGACAGAGACAGAGAGAGAGAGAGAGAGAGAGAGAGAGAGATAGTAAATTATCTATATATGTGGGATAAGTATGTACTATATATATATATATTCCTTGGTTACAACTCAATCCTCAAACTATTTATGGTTATTTCAAAATAATTATACTTTTTCTTGTAGAAATTTCAACAATTTTAAGTAAAATTCAAGTAAATCAAGTTACTTTTTAAGGTTTTCAAACACTTTTAGGCTTAATATTAAAACAAAAATAACTAAAAATTAAAATAGAATAGAAATATGTTTAATTTTGTACTTAAATATAAAGTTTTTAGGAAGAAATTACTAGGAAATAACCATAAATATTGCAAGGAATTAAAGGTGTTTATGTTTTGTGGTGAAAGGTGTATGTGTGTACGTGTGTGTGTGTGTGTGTTATATAATATATATATACGCTATGAACTTGGGGTGCCATCCTTCTACATGGCTGCCATGATCCACTCTGCTTTAGCTCCTGATGATGCTCTCCCTTCTCCTCCTCCTCCTCCTCTTTCTCCTCCTCTTCCATCACTCAATTATATATAAAATTGGCCGCATCGCATAGCGCATCGCTGTCATCATCAAATTTACCATTCATGGCATAGGAACTGGTGCCGCTGCCATAGACCCATTCCTTTTTTATGAAATCCCCATCCGTGGTCGACGATGAGGTGGTATTATGCAATCCACCCAACGAACTATGATCCAAACGAAAATCATCATCATCATCCGGATACAATTGTACGGGTATGCTATCCGGTATTGAATGCGGCTCAAAGAGATTACCATATGGCGGCAGCGAATGATTCAAATCCACATGATGATCCACCAGATCGCTATCAAAATTTGATATACGAAATTTTGAACTGGGTGGTGATTGTGGGGAATGCGGTGCTGCTGAATCCTCAAACATGACCTCCTCTTTGATGAACATATCATTGGAATTGTCACCGGAACCGGAGGAGTAAAGATTTGGTTCAACTTTTATAATGGCTGCTGTGGCCAGGGACGGTGATGATTTCTCATCGTCATCATCATCATCAAAGTGATGATTGTGATGATTATGATGATGATGATTGTGGTGATGATGATGTTGCTGCTGTTGTTGTTGTTGCTGTTGCAAAACTTGCTGCCTTTGCTGATCTTCTTCCTCATCTTCATCATCATCCATATCCGCCAGATGACGACGTCGGTGGTGATTTCGGTGGTTATTACGCTGCTGGGTTACTCTTTGTTGTTGCTGCTGCTGCTGCTGTTGCTGCTGCTGCTGCTGTTGCTGCTGTCGTTGCTGCTGCTGCTGCTGTTGCTGCTGCTGCTGCTGATGATGATTCCTAGTACTTCTTATGATTGTGGAGCCACCTAAAGCTGCTGCCGCTGCTGCCGATGAGGCTATGGACAATGGCACACCGGTGGCCTTTGATACCAAAACTGTAGGCGATTGTACAGGCGAAACCACTAGAAACAAACAAAAAAAAACCATTTAAAATATATAAAATATATAAAAAATATACAAAATTCTTAAAAAATGTAAATAAAACTCACCTCCTGTTTGCTGAACTACACTGGTCAAGGCCACGCCACTGCTGCTGCTAGTGCTGTTGCTATTGTTGTTGTTGTTGTTGTTGGTTGTTGAATGTATAATAGGCGTCTTTCGTATCAATTGAGAGCCATTGCTGAGATTTTTGTTGCTTGAGGAGGAGGAGGAGATAATGTTGCTGCCGTTGCTGGTGCCTGCACCGCTTTGGATGACCTGGGCATGCAGCACGGGCGTTGTATCGGAGGTATGTTGCTGCTGTTGCTGCTGCTGGTTGCCCTGTTGCATATAGTTCTTAATCACAATCGTTCTGGTGGGCGCCGTCACAAGATATTGCTGATGCTGCTGCTGCTGCTGCTGTGGCTGCTGCGTGGCTGGCGAGTTTGAGGAGGAGTGCGAGTGCGGGGCATTCGAGGATTCATTGGATGAATCCTCACCGGTGGTCAAGCGATTGGTGGTTGCATTCACAATATGCGAGGAGGAGGAGTTAACCATTACATTGCCGCCCCCCAAGACATCCTCCTCGTCCCCGCTTAAACCCGAGTGTTCATCCAGCTCCATTTGATGTTGCAGCTGTTGCTGCTGTTGCATTTGGTTGCTGGTGCCGGGACGATCTAGCTCATGAGGCGGTTCTAGCTTTACGATTGTCGTTGTTGTGGCTGCCGCTGCTGCCGTTCCACTGTTGCTGCTCGAATTGCTGCTGCTGGAATTGCTGCTGTTGCTTGAATTACTACTGTTTGAAGCCGCCTTTGAGGATGCCACCGCTGCCCCTGGCTGATCCCTTAAATGGACCTGCATGTGCGTCTGTAGCGAGGATTGTGTATGCAATTTCTTCTTGCAGATTTTGCACTCAAAGGGAAAGTCACCCGTATGCGTTCTGGCATGAATCTTGAGGTTATAACGCTGCCCAAAGCCCTTGCCGCAGACATCGCATCTGGAAAAAGTACAAAAATCAAGTAATTGAAGATAATGTGGCTTTTGCCTTAACTTACTTGTGCAATTTAACGCCCGAATGCAATTTTGAATGGCCACGCAGCGAGGCCAAAGCACTAAACACCTTGCCGCATATCTCGCAGGTTAAATTCACATTCTCATTGTGAATTTTCTTGTGCACCTTGAAGTATTCGAAGCTCATAAACTCCTTGTGGCACACCTCGCATTTGTATTTGTGTCGCTCCGATTGTTGACCCGTATGTACCCTCATATGTTTAATGAAATTTGGACGAAAGCGTACAACACGACCACAAATCTGGCACTCGTAGGGCTTACAGCGTAGGCAGTGCTTCTCATAATTCTTCAGAGACTTGAGAACCATGTTGCAGATGGCGCATTTCATATTGTTGGCATGGCCACTGCGATGAATGTCGAAAAGTTCCTTTGAATCAAATTTTTCAACACATTCCACGCACTGGTAACTGGTGTTGTTGGTGTTTGTTGGTGTTGTTGGTGTGGTGTTGGTGTTGGTGTTGCTGGTGTTGTTGGTGTTGCTGTTGGTGTTGCTGTTGCTAGTGTTGGTGTTGGTGTTGTTGATGTTGATGTTGTTGGTGTTGTTGGAGTTACTGTTGTTGTTGTTGGTGTTGTTGGAACTACTGTTGTTGTTGTTGTTGTTATTGCTAGAGGAAGAGCTGGATGATGAGGCTGCTGCTGCTGGAGGTTTCACTGGATGGTTTTGTTGCTGCTGCTGTTGCTGCTGCTGCTGGGCCAAGGCCAAGGCCAATTGCTGTTCCGTAGACTGCGTCTGTTGCTGCTGCTGCACTGGCGCCTGTGTCTGCAATATCAATTGAGTGGCCGGCATCGCCTGCTGCACCACATTCAGCACCGTCATGGGACTCCTACTGATCACCGCTGTTGCCGGCATACGTACATATGTTGTTCCAGCTGTCAAACCACCCACCGCATTGCTTATATACACAGGTCGCCTTTGAAGCTGGACAAGGGCTGCCTCGGTAACGGGCACAGCCAAACGGTGGGTGGTGCTCACTATACTGCCGGCTGGCAATTGTACCAACTGCTGGCCACCAGCTGCTCCTCCTGCTGCTGCTGCTCCTCCTCCTCCTCCTCCTGCTGTTGCTGTCCCCGCACTACTTGTGCTGATTTGGTATTCCAACTGGCCATGGGCATGCTCATCTTCATCCTCATCCTCCTCCTCTTCATCATCTTCATCGGGCATCTCCTCATCCTCTTCCAGCTCCAGCTTAACCCGCGACGACGACAGATGATGATGATGGGCCGTTGATTCCGGCTCTTCATCAGCCTCTGCTGCCTGGGCCTCTTCCTCAATGTCCTGCAGGTTTTCATCGTTTAACTCGGGATCCTCTTCCTCCTCCTCCTCCTCTTTAATGTCGCTGGCGGCCAAAACTGTAGTGTTGTTGCTGCCACTGCTGGTGGTTTGAATGATGATGCGGCGACCATTGAGGAGATGATGCTGCTGCTGCTGCTGTTGGAGGACCAGTTGGCTATCCAAGTGATTGCTGTTGCTGCTGCTGCCATTGCTGCTGCTATTGTTGTTGTTGTTGTTGTTATTGAAGGAAGCGCTGTTGTTTGTTGTGTTCACAGTGGCTGCTGCTGCGGAAGCTGCTGCTACTGTCGGTGGGTGGTTGTTGCTGTTGCTGCTGCTGCTGCTCTCTAGCTTGAGATGATGATGCGTATGCTGCTGCTGGTGAGGATTGTGATGATGCTGAAGATGATGTTGGGGATGAGAGTGCGTTTGATGATGGTGCGTATGCTGATGCTGATGCGGATCGTCGTCCTGCTCCATGGGAGCATCTTGCAGTATAAATTCGATCTGTTGCGATAGGGCGCTATCGTTAATGGCAATCAGTCCGTCCATATCCTTAACGCCGGCAGCGGCGCCAACGGCGGCAGCAACGCTAGCAGAGCTCGAAAATAACGAGGGCAGCGCCGCCGACGTTGCGCTGCCGCCGCCGTCGACATTTGTCGCGCTGCTGGCCATGGCAGCGATATAATAATTAATATATTATTATATATATTTTATGTAGTTGCGATTCTGTAAAAGAAAAAAATGGGGGAATAAGTTTAACGGGTAATGTTTGGCTTTAAAATCTCTTGAGGGTTTTTTTTTTATATTTTATGGCATACTTTTGGGCACTTTTTAAAATGATTTTAAATCTTTTTCAAAAATTAAAAATTATTAATGCAAAAAAAATTAAGATTTATTAACTTGATTTGAAATGTTTTCAATAAATATAAAATAAACAAATATTTAAACAAACTTTTGGTTTAAAATCATTTTAAAAAAAATATATAATTTTATTTAGATTTATTTCATGGACAAAAAAAATCTAAAAATTTTAGTTATATTTTTTAAATAAAAAAAATTCTACACATTTTTGTTGTTATATTTTTTAAGTAAAAAAATCTAATAAACACAAAATTAATTTAATATATTTTTTTATATTTTTCTAGTAAAAATCTACAAAATTAAACCCTAGAATATTTTTTTAAAAATATTTTTTAAATAAAAATCTTCTAAATTAAACCCCAATTTATTTTATTTTTTACATTTTTCAAATAAAAATCTTTAAAAAACCTTCTTAAAAATATTTTTTATTAATAAATTAACTTTAGTAAATAATACATATTACAATTAGCACCTTTTTTTTAGGTTCTGGAACTCTGCAACCACAACTGCAACGATGTTATGTATGGTGTTTCCTAACTGGACACCGGCAGAGCTTAATTAGTTTGTATTGCACGGATTTATCTGAAATTAATAATAATATAATAATGTTAATAAATATAGATATTTATTTTTTAATAAGAGATTTCTCTAGGAAATTAATTCTTATTGGCTTGTAGTCTTATTGTCTTATTATTTTTTAGAAAAATAATTATAAAAAACAAACTAAGATATTCAAATTTTCATGGATTTTTACACTTAAAGTAAACAAAAAATTAATGTTTTAAATGTTTTTAAAGATGATGGGGTAAATCTTGAATAAAAGCAATTTTTAATAACCTTTATATTGACTTTACTAAGTAATTGTATTTTTAAATATTTTTTTGTAGCCTAAATTTTAAAATATGTTTTGCTTACATTTTTTTGCGCTGTTTTTTCATTGATTTTAAATTTTAGTTTTATTTAAGCGGCTTTGTTTTTTGTTAGAGCGTTTTTTTTTTAAATTTTACCGGCTGCTTCTTTCTCTTCCTGCTTTTCTCCTCATTTACTTAATATTATTTTGTTGTTTGTGTTTGTGCCGCTTTGCTTGTTTAGTATTTAATTTCTCGATTTTCTTTTTTATGTTGCTTCTTGTTGCTGCTGCTGCTTCTTCTGCAATCTCTCTTGCTCTTTCGCTTCTCTCCGGCTTTTTCCTTTCCTTTTGTCTTATTATTTATCTGAATTAAAAACTTCTTTTTGTTGTTTCTCCTTCTTGAACTTTGTAGCACTCAAACACATGCACGTTGTTTCCTTCGATTTTGTTTTGTTTTTCTCTCCCTGGTTTTGCCTTTTGCTTTGCGTTCACATTTGGTTTTTTTGGCTGAACAAAAATTTTCCATTTTCTTGTCATGCGGTTTTTTGCGATTTCCATGCGGCGACGCTGACGTCGCTGGACGACGACGCTGCCGCTGCTGCTGTTGTTGTTTGTGTTTGTGGTGGTACTGCTTCTTCTCCTGCTACTGCTGATGTTGTTGTTGTTATTATTATTAATTCCTTACTTGATTTCCTCATTTTTTGTTGTTGTTGTCTTGAAAGGAAATATTGTTTGTTTCACAGGCACACACACACTCATTCGCGGACTCACACACGCGCGCACACACACACGAACTAATACATGTGAAGGCGCTGCTGACTTCTCCGTTTTCTTCTCGCTTTTTGTTATTATTTATTGATTCGCTCTCAATTGTCCTCCGTCTCTCCGCTTTGTTGCTTCATTTGTCTATATATATATATATATATATAGGTATATATTTTGTGCAATTGGTTCTAACTGTAAGATAAATACACACGTTTTTTTTTATTAACAAATTTAAATGCGTTTTACGAAATCACACACACACAGAAACCTATTCAGGAGATCTCACACACACATACACTCACACGAACTAGTTGGAAATAAAAACAAAAATTAATTTTAGCTTTTCCCCCCCACACACACACACTCACACAAGTTTTTCACTTTTGCTCCATTTTTCTTTCGTTTTTTTCGGGGGGAGGCGCGTTAGCCGTCTCCTTCTCCTTGCCGCTCTCTCTCTCACTCACTCTTCGCTCACATTTTTGACCTTTTTGGTGTGCGTTTATAATAGTTTTCCTTTTTGCTCGCTCATTTCGATGAGTTTTGGGATTTTATTTATCTTTTTTATTGGCTGGCGCTCCTGGTTCAGCCAGTTTTACTTATTTACAAATTCTTACAAATATCCGAATAATTTTTGGATGGTTAATTTATTTTATTCCTTTTCCCTTTTTTTTTTTGCGACGCAGCAACAACAACGAACGACGCGACAATTAGCGGCGGCTGCGCTGCTTCTTCTTCCTCTCCTTCACTGTTTCTGCTCTGCTTCTTCTTCTTCTTCGGCTTCTGCTTGTTCTTCCTCTGCCGATTTTGCTCCCCCGCGAGTAATTTTTTTTCGGCTTTGCTTTGCTTTGTGCAAAAGAGACGGAGAAGGAGAGAGAGAGAGAGAGAGGGGTAGCGCGCTTTCCCTCGCGTTTTTCCACACTTTTGTTGTTGCCGTTTTTCACACTCACACAAGCTCGCTTCGTCAAGCTCTTTTTTTTGCGCTGTTCTTTCTTCTGTTCAATAATAACAAAAAAAAATTCTATGAACATGTGTGTGTGTGTGTGAGTTTTTGTCTCCCTGGGTCTGGCTTTGTGTGAGCGAACAGGGTTGCATTCGGCTAGCAGTGTTGGTAAACGCACGCAAGAGCGCGCAATTTTCAAAAGTTAATTGGATTTGTAGTGCGAGAAATATAAAAATTGTTCCTTTTCTTTGGGTCTTGTCCTACTCCCTTTTTGTTTTCCTTTGCCATTGCCTTTCTGCCCTAGCTCACACACACAAGTTCCACAGTTTGATTCACACACACACACATAGCGGCAGGCACAAAACAAAAAATAAAAAGTATTTACAGCTGAGGTCAAGCAATTTGTCCCTAAAGTTTAGAACATTTATAAGTGAAGTTAATCCTATAGATTAACTTTATTTTAAGTTTTAAGGGAAAAATAGAAACAATTTATTTTCAAGAACTATTTTCATTTTTCGAGTAATAGAATATGTTACAATTGGGGCTATTCTTGCGACCGCCATCGTATTTTAAGGACTGCCAGAACTTGGAGCCCAAAAAAACTTAATGGGGCAAGGGGCAGGGGGCAGAGGGAGATGAAAAGAGCTGACCTAACAAGCGGCAGCGGAAATAGGCACAAAAGGAACACACTGAAAGACAGGCGACCAGCGGCAGCGCGAGTGAGATGGGGCCAGAGCGAGCGACCGAGATGGGGCGAGCCCCAGTGGTTGAGAGCGTCGTCATGCGATGGAGCTAGAGCTGCGAGGGGGAAAGAGAGGGGTGCAGGTGGGTCGAAAGGAGAAGGAGGCGAAGGTGGGGGAGAAGCCGTTTTATTTCGACAGTTTTCGAACTGCTCTCTCGCTTGCTCGTGTTCGTTTTCCCTTTTTTCGTGTGCGCTGCTCCTCCTGGAAGAGGCAAAACGGAGAAGAAGGCAAGGAAGACGAAGAGCACATCATCACCTTGGAAGAAAATTTTCAGTTGGGCAAAATAATTTTCGGGGGGGTTGTAGGGTGGGGCGGAGAGGGGTGGCGGTTGTGGGCGGTGTTTTGTGGGTGGTTTATTACTCAGTGATTTTCGCCGGGGGGTTTTTGGGGGTTGAAAACACACACGCACGCACACACTTCAAAAAAAAGGGATAACAAAACAAGGGTTGGGATGCCGCCGATTCCGAATAATGTTTTCAGCGAATAACCGCAGTTCAGAAATCACATCACAGAACAAAACGAAAAAAAAACATAAAATAAAATAAAATCCACACACAAAGGCAGCTGGAAACTGGTCTCCCCTTCTCGCTCTCTCCTTTATATCTCTCTCTTGTTTCATCTCACCCACTCACACACGGACACACGCGCGAGAAGTGGAGCCTGAGCCTTACAAAAAAAAAAAAAAAAGGGGGAAACCTGGAACCGTTTCGAAAATGTTCTTACGTTTGTATTTAATCCCCTTGCAAAAACATTGAACAAAAAATCGTTAATTGTTTATATTTTTGGCTGGCGCCGCTCTTCTGCCTTTTTGCTTTGCTTTGCTCTTTCTTTCACTTTATTCGCACTTCACGAGCACTCACACACGCAAGCACTCGTACAAACACACACACGAGGCACGCGGGGGGAGCAACCGAAATTGGGAGATCTTACAATTGTGCACACTTCTTTTGTTATTATTATTATGGTTTTCGCGTTTTTTTAGTTATTTCTATTATTGCTTCTGCTTCTTCGCTCATCTTCCTCCGCGAATTCGCAATTTTTTCGATTTTTTTAATGTCTTTGTTAATCAGTGTTACCGTTTTAGCAATTTTACTGCTAGATCTAGCAGAAAAAGCTATAAAATTGAATAGATTTTACTCACTTAACATCACATTTTCATTTGTTGTTGTTTCAATTATTTGAGTGTGTGCGCAATGGAAATGATTTATCACTGATTTGATGGTTTTTTGTGTTTTTTATTCGATAATGATGGCTTTTTATCGCCCGCAACAAAGTTGCGAATGTTTTCCTTTGATTATTTACAGGCTCTCCTCCTAAAAAATCTCAAAAAGTTGAAATTTCGTTCTAAAAAATCCACACTTGGTATTTGAACCTAACCCGATACTGGAACCACATCTGATTTTTAATACTTATCCGATATTTTGCAACACTAGTCATATTTTTAATGTCAATATATATATAAATACATATAATATATAATATAATATAAAAAACAATACATATATGTACTGATAGATAAAAATACCACATTTATTTTGAATCATAAAAAAATGGTAAATATCAAAGAGAAGCTACTAATAACTTAAACAATTTTAATTGTAGGTCAAAATAGCGTATAATAATTATTTTTAATACATATAGCAAATAATATACATTTTTTTTTAATACTTATACGATATTTTTGCAGCATTAGCTCCATTTTCCTTGTGGATCCAAGTTGTTTTGCTCTCCGGCTTATAAAAAAACTGAAAATTATAAAATGCTACAAATACCATAAAAATTTAATGGTTTTTAAAAATACAAAATAATATTTTTTTTTAATACTTATCCGATATTTCTGCAGCACGAGCCCTATTTTCATTGTACGTCGAACTCGTTTTGCTGTTTGGATCATAAAAAAAGCTAAACGTTAAACATAAAGGATTCAAGTGTTCGAAAAATGTTATGCTATATTATTCTAAAAATTGTAAAAACATAAAATAACACCAAATTTGATTAAAATTTGATTATATTAGTTGATTAACAAAGTATTCTACATTTTCGTCTATTTGAAAAGCTAGACCTAATGTGAAAATAGCTAAATTGCCAGCCCTGTTAGCTAACAAACTAATCTAAAGAAGTGTGACCAGATTATGTTAACTTTTTGGGTTTTTTTTCTGGGCAAGAGCTAAATTCTCATCTGGCCACACTATTTGTCGCATAAAAATTTGCTTGCGTTTGCTTCGTGAAATTAAACCCGTGTTTTTTGTGTTATTCTTTCCCCCCATCCAGCTAAAAACCAATCGATATGGTGAGTGGGTCGGCCTCCGTTTACTATTTATTGTTTATTGAGGCCAACGGCAGTGTGTGACTTTCGCCGCCTGAAAACGGACACTCATGTTTTTTCTTTGTTTTTCTTGTTTTTTTTTTTTCGTTGCAGGCAGCTTACACCGAGGATCAGTTGGCTGGTGAGTGTGTGTGTGTGGGTGTTGGTTTGGAATTGGAAATAGACCCAAAAAGTTGCAAAGTGCCAACATAACGGAATAAATTGCAATGCCCTCGTCATCTTTCTCTTTCTCCCCCCTCCCCCCGGCTATGCATTGGAATGCGGAGAGTGTGAAAGCGATGACACGAAAGTATGTGTAACACATCTTTATAGGCGGCATATATATATATATATATATATATATATATATGTATATATATGATGTGTGTATGAATCATTGATAAAACAAATACGCTGGAAAGCAGCCATACGAATACGCTGATCGTTGTGTGACTCACCGAAGAGAGGCAACCAGCAACTGGCATTCATTTCCAAGGCATCCCGGCAAGTCGAGGCCATGGGATGCCCTAACAGTTATTCAAAAAAGTAATTGGTTTTGGGTTTTCGATGCTCTTGTAAAACGCTCTCTTAAAGGGAAGTCTGTAAATATTTAAAAACTTCAGAGATAAAGTTACTTGTTGCCATAGTTCCCCTGGTTTTTTATTTTATAAATTTTTTATATTTTTTTATTCTATTTATTTTCTATATTTCTTTTATTTTTAAATCCTCCTTTCAAAGGATTTTTGACTTATTAACCTCATAAACCCCTCACTCACATCAAAATACCCTTGAAAAAAAAGGGTAAAATTGTTTAAAAAAACCGCAGGAAGTCGTAGCGATAAGATATTGATAAAGAAAGGGGGATAATCAACACGTTTGTTCGACACGCCGGCAGCTCGTTTCAAATAAAACTGCAATTGCAGTGGCAAAAATCACCCAAAAAACCAGCTTTAAAATGAAAAACCCAAAAAGCCAAAAGTCAAGCTTCCATTTATGGCATGTTGTGGGTCAAATTCAGGCTGCTTAGCACTTTGTTTTTAATTCTAATGTCAAATTCCCTGCCTTTTCAAACGATTTCAATCGCAATCTTTACTTAATTCCCCCCTGTGATAACTTAATCAGAGCCAAAGAGAGTGTTGAGTTTTCTGATAATTTCTGACGTCATTCGATCAGGTACATATATATTATATATATATTGTATTTATATGTATATTGTATTTATGTATTTCGTACTTACCTGGTCTCCATTGCATTGCAATCTTTAAGTTTTTAGCTTTTCTTGCCATTCGTCGCGCTGTTTTGTCATCGCCTTAAATGGACAAAAATGTGCTGGAATCGTTTGTTTTTATTGCCATTTTAGGATGTAGTATGCGGCGCCGCTGTAGCATGATAACAAAAACAAAAAAACAAAAAATACAAATAAAAAATGTTTTAATATGTGTACAGGTCATCGAATGTCACACACTCTTGTTATTTAGACTATAAAAATATTGAAAATTTTATAAGCTTTCAGGGGTTTATATATCCTTAAAAAACATATAAAATTTTAAGGGTTTCTTCTTTAAAAACTCTTTTTATATTTATACGATTTTTTTTAAGGAGAATTTAAATTTTATAAAATGATTAAATATCCAAAAAAGCTCTTTTTTATATTTGTACGATATTTTAAGTAGTATTTAAAATTTATAAAATGATTTAATGTCCCAAAAATAATTATATTATATCCCCAAAAAAAAAAGAAGAATTTAATAACTAATTTAATATTTATACGATTTTTTTTTAACAATATTTAAACTTTATAAAATGATATAATATAAAAAAAAAGATAATATATCCCTAAAAACCACGAAGAACTCTTAGTGATTTTTATTTAAAAACTCTTTTAATATTTATAAAATTTGTAAAGCAATATTTGAACTTAATAAAAAAATATTATAATATTTCCAAAATATTTAACATTAAATTTTGCTAATAATTAACTAATTATTAATGTTTTAATGTTTTTATATATCCTCTAAAAACATACATTTTTATTTTTACTTTTAAAAAATCTTTATATATTTATACGATTTTTTAGACAATATAAAAAAAATTTATAATATTTCTAAAATATTTACCATTATATTTGCTTTTTTAAAACTACTTTTATATTTATAAAATTTTATTTAAGCAATATTCAAACTTTATAAAATGATTTAATAGTTTTTAAATATGAACGAACCTTTTTAATTTATAAAACAAGCTAAAATCCTTTTAAAAAACAAACTCCCAAAGTAAACTATTTACAAAAGTTTATAAAAAACAAAAAACTTACCTATTGTAAGCTCTTTAATATTTAAAATTTCACTAAAAACACTTTATCAAGCTTTATTTTGAACTTTAAAAAACAGTTTAATTCGTTTTACATCCAAAAAATCTATAAAATCTGCCCACAACTTGTTTCTTCACTTGTTTAAAGGCAACTGGCTTTAGAAATCACTGGAAATCGAAGAAAAGGGCTCTCATTTTTCTTATTATTGCACAAAAAACTGCAACTGGACTTAAAACAAACAAGGTTTTCCCCTCGAAATCGAATCGAATCGTTTTTGTTTATAAACAAGAGTAAGCTTTAGGGGAGTTGGCTGAGTAGCACTTCTCTGGTGTAAAGTGAGGGTATAGCATGACCAAGGAGCAAGGGGGAGGCAGGCAGGCAGGCAGGCTGGCCAGTCCAAGCCAGGCACTAGCTCTCCGAGTGGCCCAAAGGCAGTCAGTAGCTGGAAAGGCGGTCATCAGAGCGGTTCAAAATGTATTATTACACGGCACATGTGAAGCATAACTTTACCACCCTGGAAGGTGATCTAAACATCAGGGTTTAGGAGTTAAATATGTAATTATTTATACCCTATAACAATGCTTTTCTTCTTCCCTTTGTTTCCCCCACAGAATTCCAGGAGGCCTTCAATCTCTTTGACAATCGTGGCGATGGCAAAATCCAACTAAGCCAGGTGGGTGAATGTCTGAGGGCCTTGGGCCAAAACCCCACCGAGTCGGATGTGAAGAAATGCACCCACCAGCTGAAGCCCGATGAGCGGATCTCCTTTGAGGTCTTCCTGCCCATTTATCAGGCTATTTCCAAGGCCCGTTCAGGTGATACGGCCGATGATTTTATCGAGGGACTGCGTCACTTTGACAAGGATGCCAGTGGTTATATATCCTCTGCTGAGCTGCGCCATCTGCTCACCACGCTGGGCGAGAAGCTGACCGATGAGGAGGTGGAGCAGCTGCTGGCCAATATGGAGGATCAGCAGGGCAACATTAACTATGAGGAATTTGTGCGCATGGTAATGAGCGGTTAAGTTCAGATGCTGCGCTTCCTCTTATAACCATCAGCATCAGGATACACCACACACTAAACACACACACTAAACACACACACACTCCGACCAACCTGCCAAGCCAGCTGAGCCGTTCATTCCGCCAAAAGTTCCACAAAAATAAAGAAGAAAACTCCATGATTCCCAACCAGGACACACATCGAAGCAAGGATTATTGGAGCAAACTGCTATTCCCACTTCCCACTTTAAGATTCCTGATTAATCACTAATCAAAGCTGAGGCGTCTGTTGAAATGCGTATTATTCTAAAGCAAAAAGCGAGAAAAAAAATAGGTAAAAATTAAGATTGAAAGTAATCAGTAATTAAAATGCCGCTTAGTTCGGTCGTTCTTTTGTACCAATATCATATATCTATATATATATATATATTTCATATATTTCAGTGGAACATGAAAAGTATTTCTAAACTGTATACTATATATATATATCCTTGATATACGAGGCGTGTGTGTCGTCGTATATCTGAATTTAAAAAGGCGCATTTTGAAGTTTTACATGTTTTAATTCTTTTTTTTTTTTTAATAATTTAATATTTGTATTTAATAAATAATTAAAAAAGAAAATAAAAAAACAAGCGAATGTGTAGGTCTTTTTACAAAAGAAACGTACTTAAATCTATTAAACCAATTGAAACCTAAGACACTGTTGTTTTTTTATTTAAATTTAGCTCCAGTTTTTAGAATACTAAATGGGTTAATTAATTGTAAATTAAATTTTTTTTTTACCTAATTAAGATTTTATTCCTCAAATTTATATTTTATAGTTATATATAATATTTGCAAGATTTGAATTTTCTTATTAATTTCAACTTAAATTATAAATGATTATATTTATTTTTTTAAATACTTTTTTTAGACTTTTTTTAAAATATTTTTTTTTTTTTTTATTTATATAAATAATTTTTTTATTATTTTTATTTATATAAATATTTTTTATATATTTATATTTTTTTATTTATACATATTTTTTTATATGTTTTTATTTATTTAAATATTTTTTTTATAATTTTTTTATTTATATAAATTAAAAATTTTTTTTTTATTTATAAATATTTTTGTATGTTTTTATTATATAAATATTCTTATATTCTTATATAAATATTCTTTTTAAATATTTTTCATTATATAAATATTTTTTTTTTTTAATATTTTTTAATATATAAATATTGTTTTTATATGTTTTTATTTATATGAATATTTTTTTATATTTCTATATTTATATAACCATTTTTTTATATTGTTTTATTTATATAAATATTTTTTTATATGTTTTTATTTATAAAAATATTTTTTTTATATTTATTTACAAATATATATATACATATAATTTTTTTTATATATTCTTATCCCACTTAAATTTTCTTAAAATTAAAAAATTATATATATTCTATGATTTTCAGTATTTCAGTATTTTTCCTCCCCCGCTTACTGCCCTACTAATCTAGTATTTCAACCCACTTTTAGGGATTTCCCCCAAACAATATGATTTTATTGCCAGACCACGGTCTCACTTGTGTACCAAATTCAAATAAGCTTAGATCGTAATATCGCAGAGATATAAAAACAACCGAAAATATAATATAATGTCGAGCAACAAGGAGTCGTACAAAGTGCTAAATGCCGAGCTAATGGCCGAGGTGCAGAAGCTGCGCCTGATGATTGCCGCCTACAAGCGGCAGGTGTCGAGCCTGTTGCGCGAGAATATGGGTCTGCGGGAGGCACAGATTCTGCAGAGAGCGAGTGGAGGTGGTCAGCAGCGGCGCTGGAAACTTGACTCCAACTGTCTGGGAGCGACCAGACCTGCTCCGAACAATCGTCGCCGATACGGCGACATGGACATTGCCTTGGAGGTGTCCGAAGAAGCGCCTGAAATAGGAAGACTGAAGGTATTGTAAACAAAAACAAGTGAAGATTCATTCATAAATTGGATTCCTCCACTGATCTTGCTGGTTAGCTATCGACACCGCCTATAGTGCCCACCATTGACGAGGATGACCCCACCACCACCAGTGGTGAGGATGAAGGCTGGCAGTCGGCTAACAAGGATGGTTTAATACGCAAAATCGCACGTTCCTGCTGGCGCAGAGCCAAAATCATTAATTAAACAAATAACATAAAAAATAGTGTTAAATTAACAATGTATAAAAAATAATTTAAAACAATATTTTGGAAAAAAAAATAAAAATGTACTGTCAAGTTTTAATGAATTAGATTTAAAAGAATTCAGGATTTAAGGCATTTGTAAAAATATTTTAATAATTTTAATAAAATTTTGATTAAATATAAAATATATAAATATAAAAAATATTAAAAAATCACAATGTTAAATATAATTTATTTGTCTAAAATTCACTTTAAAGTTTTAAAATAATAGTTAACAATAATATCTGAATTTAATAATATTAATATTTAAATTTAAGATGAAATATACATTTTTTTAAAATTTAAATTTGATAATTAATCTTATTTTAATTTAATATTTAATAAACTTTATTTTCCTAAATTTAAATTTGATAATTAATATAATCTTAAATTAATCTAAATTATAATATATTTTTAAATTTAAATTTAATAAATAATTTTACCTAAATTTATTAAAATTTACATATTTTTCAAATTTTAAATTTGATAAATTTAATTCGATTCGTTTGATTATCGATTGCCTTCCTATCGATTAACTTTAACACAGTGGCAACGCCGCCAGTTCCAAAACAAAAGCTTTGCAATTTGCAATTGAATTTTTTGTTTGTTTAATTTTATGTATTAACTTCACATTGTTAACCGGTTTTGGCAGCCGCAAATTGAAGTTCCAGCCGAGGAGCATGCCCAGGAACACGGTGGCGGGCGCCGGGAGTGCAGCCGGGGGAGAAGGCGGTGCCCCAGAGCCAAGTTCACCCGTGCAGAAGGTGTGGAAGCCGGAATGTGAGTCAAAGATGAGTCAAAGGAGGAGGAGCATCCTATTAAACCCCCCCCTCCCTCAGTGTACAAGCTGCAGCTGGAGGCCCCAGCTCCCTGTCCCCTGCGCTGCCAGCGTACCCTGCCCCTGCCGCCGGCCAAGAGCACTGCGGCAGCTGTGGAGGCCAACAATGCGGCTGGACGTTTGTATGGCTCCGAATATCATGGCTTGATGGGTCACCTGGAGGCCGAACAGCTGCTGGCCAATGCCCGCGATGGCAGCTACCTGGTGCGGCTTAGTCCCCAATCCGATGGCTACTACACATTGAGTCTGCGCTACAATAAGACGCCCAAGAACTACAAGATTCTGCACAAACCGGGCGTGGGTCACTATCTGCTTGGCCAGGACAAGCGCTTCGATACGGTCCATGATATGGTGGCCGATGGTCTGATTAACTTTCATATGCAGCTCCATGCGAGTCCCATTATCCAGCAGATCAATCAGCAGACAAGGAATTGTTACCAGCAGTCACCCTACATGACCTTGAATGGACGCAAGCTGAGGGCTTTGTCCAATGAAATGGGAGGCAAGGGGGCTGCTGCTGCTAATCCTGGATCCTTGGAAGCTGCTACCAAGTCCAAGGGAGTTGAGGCGGAGGCAAAGCCCAAGTTGGAGGAGGAGACACCTCTACCAGCTTTGGATCCCATGCCTTTGGTTTACGAGAAGCTGCATCATTTCAAGGTAGGATTTGGTTGTGGGGAAAACCCTAGGTTATATCCATGTTATATCCCCCACCAGGTGCACACCTTCAAGGGTCTCAATTGGTGTGAATTTTGCGCCAACTTCCTGTGGGGCTTCACCGCCCAGGGTGTCAAGTGCGAGGCCTGTGGCTTTGTGGCGCACACCAAATGCTCGGAACTGGTGCCGCCCAAGTGTGTCCCAGATCTGAAGCGCATACGCGGTGTCTTTGGCACTGATCTAACCACTATGGTGCAGCTGGAGCCGCATCATCTCATACCCTTTGTGGTGCGTCGCTGCGTGGAGGAGGTGGAGGCCAGGGGTATGCTGCAGGAGGGCATCTATCGGGTGTCCGGCTTTGCGGATGAGATTGAGGCCTTGAAGCTGGCCTTGGATCGGGATGGGGAGAAGACGGATATGTCGGAGACGACGTATGGGAATGTGAACGTGATAGCTGGGACGCTGAAGTTGTATTTGCGGCTGCTTCCAGTGCCGCTCATCACGTTCCAGGCGTATCCCAGCTTTATGGCCGCAGGACGTAAGTGTTTTTTTTGGGCTCCTTTTCATTTTACTTGTTATCTATTTAATTTTTATATAATTTATTATTTATAAATTTATAAATTTTCAATTTCTTAATTTTTAAAATTTTATTATTTATAATTTTATTAATTTTTGAATTTAATAATTTTTAAATTACTAATTTTCAATTAATTAATTTTCAATTTTTTAATTTTTAATAAGTTATTTTTCATTTTATTAATTTTTTAATGTATTAATTTTTTATTAATTATTTTTCAAATTATTAATTTTCAATATTTGAATTTTTTAATGTATTAATTATTTAATTTATTATTTTTCAATTTATTAATTTTTAATATTTTTTTTTTTCAATTTCTTAATTTTTAATTTTCAATTTTTTAATGATTTAATTTTTAAATTATTATTTTTCAATTTATTAATTTTTAATATTTTATTTTTCAATTTCTTAATTTTCTAATTAATTAATTTTAAATTTATTAATTTTTAATGTAATTATTTTCTAATTCATTAATTTTCAATTTATTTTATTTATTATTTAATTTATAAATTTTCAATTTATTAATTTTCAACTTAAATTACTTAAAATTGATGCATTTCAGGCAACGGCAAGCAGGCGGAGCAGCTCCAGCTGATGACGGAGGCAGTGCGTCACCTGCCCCCGGCCCACTACACCTGCCTGCAATACATGCTGGAGCACCTGAAGCGGTGAGTGGATTGTAACTTCCTTTTTCCTTGCAACTTGCCCATTTGAAGCCCCAAAAAAATCTTACACAGAGTGGCCTCTCACTATGCCGTGAACAAGATGAACGAGCACAACCTGGCCACTGTATTTGCGCCCACGCTGATTGCCACGCCCCAGCACATGACCAACCTAACCGAGGAGATCTTCATGCTCTCCTCCCTCATTGCCCACTGCAAGACGATCTTTGCCAGAAACTGAAAGCGATCGAGCGGTCCAAGCACCGAACAGAGCGGAGCCGCTAGCCTCAGCTCGCTAGTCTCCATCTCTGTCCATTTCGGATGTCCTTAAAGGCATAGGAACCTTAATTACACTTTGCCAAGCATGCATACATATATATATTTTACTCTTAACCCGATGATTCCACCAAAAATTTAGCCTAAGATCAAAGTAAACGATTTTATAGCGTCTTTTTTTAGGAGTTCCAAAAAGAAACATGAGAAAAAACCAAGCAAAAATACACATTCAATGTTGTAATTTACGAATTTAACGAATCTCGAAACATTTTTAGAACAAGTATTTTACATATGTATCACAATAAATATATTTATTTTATTTATAAATTATGAATCAAGTGTTTTTTTTTTTTAGAAATAATGAAGAAATTTTGTATAAATATGCAATTTTATTGAAATCTCTAAATCTCTGTTTTAAAAAAAATATTTTTTTTTTAATTAAGAAATTTTCTATGGAAATTAATTAATTTTTCTTTAATTTAAATAGTTAAATATAAATTTATTTATTAATAATTTTATTTATTAATAAATTTATTTATTTTATAATTGTATTTACTTATTTTTAAATTTACTTATTTATTTATAATTTTTTTTTTAATCTACTTAAATATACATTTATTTATTTTTTTTTTTAAATTTATTTATTTATAAATTTATTTAATTATTTATAAATTTATTTATTTTTAAATTTATTTATTTTTAAATTTATTTATTTATAAATTTATTTCTTCTTAATTTATTTATAAATTTATTTATTTATAAATTATTTCAATTTTGTTCAAGTTTTTGGTAGAGAATTCTAAATAATTTTAAGATTTTAAGGATATTAAGGAAATTTATGTTTAAAAAAGTTTATATATTTTTTTTAATTAAGGAATTTCCATGAATATCAAGACATTTTTGTTTAATTTAAATAATTTTAGTTAAAATGAGACATACGATGTGTTTTTAGATATAAAATTACGTAGTAACAAGTAGGCGACGACAGAATTGACATAGGAAAACCCTTTTAGGTTTTGGCCACATTTGCGGTGTGAAAACGGAGCCGAGCAAAAGTCAAGTTGCTGTGTGCAGTTTCTATATTCATTTTCTTGTTGTTTCGTTTTGAATTTTTGGTTTTTCCTACAATGGTTAATAACAAGGACAACAAGAAACAGAAGAAAGAGCAGAAATCGGTGGCATCGTCGTCTGGCCTGGTCACCAAGATGCGGCCAGCACGCCCCAAGGCCGCGAAACCGATTGATCGGAAGCTCAAGGAGGTGAAGGAACACAAGCCGCACTTTGACGACATGATCGGCAACATGAGCACTCTGCTCAAGCCGGTGGATGGAACAACCATGACCAAAAAGACGGCCCCAGTGCAGCAGACCTCGCCGGGCAAGCCTTCTTCGCCGGGCAAGGCTTCGTCCCCAGGCAGGGCTTCCTCGCCAGCCAAGCCAACTTCGCCGGCTAAGCACCAGCACCCTGCACCAGCTGGACGGCACCCTTCTCCGGCTAGGTGGGATGAACCCACCCACCCACAACTTTCTATTGGTTGTTTTTCTGACATGTGAGTTATTTTTCAATTTATTATTTTTCAATTTATTAATTTTTAATTTAATAATTTTTAATTTATTATTTATCAATTTATTAATTTTCAATTTATTTTATTTAAATAATTTTTAATTTATTATTTATCAATTTATTAATTTTCAATTTAATAATTTTTCATTTAATAATTTTTAATTTATTATTTATCAATTTATTAATTTTCAATTTAATAATTTTTCATTTAATAATTTATCAATTTATTAATTTTTAATTTTATAATTTTTCATTTATTTATCAATTTATTATTTTTCAAATTATTAATTTTTCAAATTATTAATATTTCAAATTATTAATTTTTCAAATTATTAATTTTTCAAATTATTAATTTTTTAAATTATTAATTTTTCAAATTATTAAGTTTTCAAATTATTTATTTTCAATTTAATAATTTTCAATTAATTAATTTTTCATTTTTCATTTATTATTTATCAATTTATAGTTTTTCAATGACTTAATTTTCAATTACTTAATTTTCAAATTTTTAATGTATTACTTTTAATGAATTATTTTTTAAATTTCTTTAATTGAATTTCAGACAATTGAACCGCGAACTCCACAGCCCGGAGATCCAACTACCTGGATCTGCATTACTTAATGAATTTTACGATCAGATCCCCATGCCGGGATCTCCGATTTGGGATCCCTTGGAAGATCCCATGGGTCAGCCGCTGTTCGTGGAGGCTGTAGTTACGCCGCCGGGCCAGTATCCGGGGCTCGAGATTGAGATAGAATCGGAACCTGAGGTGGTGAATACCTGGGAAAGTGCTCAGGTGAGCCCGGTGCTCCAGGAGGTCTTGTTGGTGGTGCCGGCCTACGGACTGACCATGTTCATCCGGAATCCGGATGGCAGCTACGACCTGTACACCGGCCTGCAGTCGTCGCTCCCGGAGGTGGAGAATGTCAATATCCCGGATATATAAATATAATTCTTAAATTGGAATTGAAATTTGAAATTTGCGCCCAAATCAAAATCGCGATATTTTTTGATATTTTTTTCCTTGGTCACCCTGCCGGCAGAACTGCTTTGTCCAGCCAGAAACTGCTTTGGCAACCCGTGGAGTTTCTATAAATAGTTTTTACCCGCTAGCGCCTTCTTTTTTTGGAATAAAAAACTTTAAAGGTAGAAAATCTGTTATATTTGTGTGTGTAAAATTTACAGTAGAAACGTATTTACAAACATTTACATGTTTATGTAAAGTTGTTTTACCGAAAGATGGAGCCATTTGGAATTGTAAAATATTAAGTAAAAAGTTTATTTTGGATTTTATGTTTTTCAAATATTTTATTTTAAAGTTTTTTATGATTTTTAAAACAATTTGAAGCCTATTTTATATAAGCCAATCATTTTTTTTGGGCTTCATACTCTAACAAAAAGACCTACAAATAATTTAGACATTATAAAAACCTTAATTTGCATTTTTATTTATTATTTTTTTCTAAACGAGGATTTCCAAATATCATAACTAAGCCAAAAAATCATTAATTTCAATTTCGAAACCTGTTCTAACTTAGTTTTTATAAGTTTAATAAATCTGCATATAAAGTTTACTAATTTAACAAATTTAAATTTTTGCAATTTTTTTTACCTCCTTAAACAACAAAATTAAACACAAAATTAAACAAAAAATTAAAATTTTTTAATTTTCTTGCAAACCTGGCTAAATCGACTCGAATTTTAATGCTGATCAAGAATATATATGATTTATAGGGTCGAAAATGAGTCATTCACTGATTTTTAGGCTTCGGACTGAAATTATAATACTCCTTAAGGTGTATTGAATTTTAAATATTTATGATTTATAGGGTCGGAAATGAGTCCTTTACCGACTTTTCCAGCTGTTAACCATTAAAAAAAATTATTAGATTCGAAATATCTAAAGTAATCTAAATTTAATTATATAATTTATAAATATATATGTACATAAATCTATATTTATTATTAAAGCATGAATTTAATTTTGGGTCTATTCCAATTCGAACTAAGCGTTAACAAAAAATGTAAACAAAGCGGATCGTAAGTTCAGAGAGTGAGAGAGTGGAAGAGAGGATCGCTCTCTTTCAGCCTCCAGCTTTCCGTCGTCCTTGCCATTCCCTTTCACATTCTTTTTCGGTAAAAAATTGTTCGGTTGAAAAAACGCGTGCTCCAATGAAAACGGTTTAAAAACGTGGAAAAACGCTCGGAAAAGTGCGGCAAAAAGTGGAAAAACATTCGTCCCGTGTTGAGAAATGAAAATCTAAATGAAAACTTGAAAAAACTACGCCCGGGCTGTGTTTTTTTCTAGTTTTTTTTGCTGTGCAAATGCAAGTGCGAATGAAGCAGGACATGCATGACTTGCTGAAAGCATGCATGCGTTAGTTTTCGCCTTGCTTTCGTCTTCTTCTTGCTTTGATCGGCAAAAGCAAAGCCGAAAAAACGAGGGCAAAAAACGCTCGTGAAAGAGCAGAAAATCGTGGAAAATCATCGTCCCCGTGTTAAGAAATGAAAATGTGAGTGAAAATCTGAGAAATCTACGCCCGGGCTGCGTCGCGTAGCGTTTTTTAGTTGTTTTTTTGTTGGCAGTCCTTTCAGCAAGTCCCGTTAGTTTTCGCCTTGCTTTGGTGCCCCTTCTTCTTGCTTCGATCGGTTAGAGCGAAGCGGAGAAAAGAGAAGAAGAAGAAGAAGAAAACGGGCAAAAAGATAAAGTGCCAGTGTTTTTTATTATTTGTAATTATTCTTTTTTGTTTTTTGTATTTTTTTTTGTGTGAAAAATAAAAAGGAGTAGAATATTTACGTTTAAACGCTACAAACAACAGGTGAGTAATAATAATCCATTGCTTTTGCATAGTATTTAGTTTATTTTATTATGTTTTTGTTCTTTTTTTTGTTGTTTTCTGCACCGCTATTCTAATTGTCATTTGCTTTGCTCTCTCTAATTGGAACTGCTCTCTCACGTGGTGCAGATCCTGGATACAATCCACATTTGTGGATTGCAAATTTCAGGCGTTGTTTGTTTTGATTTCTGGAAAATGATTTATACAGAAAATGAACACAAATACAAAAATAGTAAGAAAAACCATTTAATTTTTTTTTTTAATATCATCCATTTTATTTCATCTAACTTTCATATATAAGTATGTTTTGTATTGTATGTGGATTTGTTTTGTTTTGTTTTGTTTTTCGTTTTGTATTTTGTTTAATTACACAATTTGCAGTTACTTTTTATTTATAAATCTGTGAATTATGCTTGACAAAAAAAGAAAAGGAAAAATAGAGGAAAAAGTAGCAGCAGAGGGCAGTGGAGTTGAGGGATTTCCTTTTGTGTTTTTTTCAGGATTTAAATATATATTTTCTTTTACTTTCAATATTTGATTGCGTTGATTGATTGATTGCGATTAAACAGGGTTTTTTTTTGCTTTTTGGTATGTACATTTTTACAGCAAAAAAAAAAAAAAAAAAATCTTAATTAATTTAGGCAAAAAAAAAATTGGAGCCTTAAATGATAAAAAGCCTTCGTTCAGAGAAATGACATTTAAATTAAATCACATTTAGCATATATATTTAAAAAATTTTTCTTGCTTAAACTCTATTATTTCGTGTCTGTGTTGTGCTATTTATAAATAATTAAATATTTACATTACGTTGACGACAAAAAAAAAATTATATATGAGACAATATTTAGAATATACTATAGAATATAATATATAGATTAATGTAATTATTTTAATTAATTATATGTGTGGGTGTGTGTGCGCCTTAGGTGTATGAAAAAAATTGTTTCGTTTGCTTGGTTTTCCTTCCTTTTTCTTTTTTTATGAATTTGCTGTTATTAATTAATTTATTTTAATTAATTTTATGCTTAGAAAATGTTCATTGCATTGTAAGACGAGGAACGAGTAGCTATTCGGGAGACTAAACCTATTGATTCAGGGGAGAGTCCGCTTGGAGATTGAAGATTTGCCTTTACAAACACAAAATTTACACGAAATCCAGATTGATTCAGGTTTAAAATAATATTACAGGGATTAAAAGAGGTTAAAAAAAAGAGAAACCAGCTCAGTAAATATTTAAAATCTTTCTTTAAAGCTTTAAACATATCTACGGATCTAAAAGTCCTTAAAAAAGAAGATTTAAAATCTCCCAAGACGAAATCAAAACTGAAAAAAATATAAAAAATATTACAGAGTTTACAAAATTGCTTGAACAAAGATTGTACTCAAAAACTATTTAAAATCAATTGTAGGACAAATCTTCTAAATAATTTCAAAGGAGTTTTGAAATCTCCCAAGCCTGACTCTTCCCTACCTCCCCTCAAAGTTCCCATCGCCGTGTTGTTTTATATATTTGTTTTCTAGTTGCTTCGTTGTCCTTAGAACAACACATCGATGTACATATTTCATCTGGGCCCACTGTTGTTGGCCTGCTCCTGCTTCACCTTGAGCAGCAGCTGCTCCTGGAGCCGCACCTCATCGTCGTGATCATCGCATATATCTATATCCCCCTCGCCATCCGCATCCGGATCGGGATCGGCCTCGTTGTTCCCATCGACTTCCTCTAGGTCCCCATCACCATCCTTGTCCAGCTCCATATCCTCTAGGTCATCCTGCTCCTCATCTGGCTCCGATTCGGCTATGGTCACCGATACAGCAGCCGCTGCTGCTGCTGCGGCTGCCGCGTTGCGTGCATTTGCTGCGGCCGCCACTGCAGCAGCTGCTGCAGCAGCAGCCACTGCTGCCTCGGCATACCCAGCGGCAGCACCATGATGATGCATATGCTGCAGTGCAGCCGCATGGTGATGATGGTGATGATGGTGTTGCTGCTGCTGTTGCTGCTGCTGTGCCTGTTGCTGAGCCTGTTGCTGAGCCTGCTGTTGCGCCGCTTGCTGCGCCGCTGCCGCCGCCGCCTGCTGCTGCTGGGCCTGCTGCAGTTGCTGCAGATGATGCAGATGCTGCTGCTGGTTGTACGGATGGTGTGGCTGCGGTCCCGCGGATCCAGATCCTTGCTGCTGCTGCTGCTGTTGCTGACCCTGACCCTGTCCCTGCTGGCCAAGATGCTGCAAGGCGGAGCCATCAGCTCCTCCTCCGGCCTGATGCAAGTGCTGCTGCTGCTGGTGATGATGGGCGGCTGCTGCGGCGGCGGCTATGTGGGCATGAGCCTGAGCCTGGGCCTGGGCATGGGCATGAGCATGGCTGTGCTTGTGATGGTGATGATGATGATGGTGGTGATGGGGCCCCTTCCCCGAGGCCGGCGGCGGGGCATCGAAGAGGAGACGCGAGATCGAGAAGCTGGAGATGGGCGAGTTGTGGGTGCTGCCCGCCGAGTAGCTGGTATTGGTATCATCTGACGTAGGCGTCTCCCTATCGCTCTCGTCGCTCTTGAGCAGCTCGGCCGCCTCCAGGGACTTTTTGTGCATACCCAGCAGCCAGGGTGCCACCGATTCATCCTCCTTGGCCGACTTTATGATGGTCTCTGGCAGTGGCAGCGAGTGCCTCACCATGGCCCCATACAGGCCATATTCGGCCATCTTGGTGCTGTGGCCCCAGCACTTTTCCGTCTTGCGCCACTTGGCCCGTCGGTTTTGGTACCAAACCTGCAAAGGTCACAACAGAAAGAGCCACAATTAGTTGGGTTTATAAATATTTCTACAAAATATTGTTCTTAAGTTATTAATTAATTATTTTGGTTCTAATTATCTTTGCTGTGCAACTCAATATGCAATTAAAAGGGCATCCAAAATGGATTTTAGGGAAGGGTTGCAGGACCTGGGGAAAAGTCCTTGGGCTAAAAGTTTGTTCAACTAAAGTGAGGGGGACTTGTTAATATTTTTGGTTGACCTATGACTTCCCTCCTATCTTATTTCTTGTTAAATATCAAAATTAATTATAAAGTAATTATATTACATAATTTCGCTTACAAATAACAAAGTCTTTAAGTCATTTTCCCTATTACAAATCGATCGTAGAAACCGAGTTATAAAGTTCATGTTATGAAATCAAGCTCATGATGCTGATAAATTGGTTTTCCTACAACTTAAACAGAAATTAATTAAGAAATTAAGTGGCAAGACCCATTGATGTATATATTTTTCAGGGATTAAGCGTGATTGTTCCAGGACAATAACGATTACCAAGGCACACAGCACCCAAAACTAATTAAATTAACGGGGGTTTCCCCCTTTTTTCCGCTTTTCAATTCTCACAACAGACAGACAGACAGACAACACTTGTCACGCATCCCCTGGATAAAAATTGCAATTCAAACTCAAGTACTTATTAGTAACAACATTAACATTAACATTAAGGGAAAAATGCTGCCAGCCGACGCTCGACGCTCCGACATTAAACGGTCAATTTTCAATTTTCGCAGACAAGTTTTGTGGGCCGCCCTGTTTTTCCCCGGGGACAACTTAATCTTCTGTTGTGAAAAGTTCAACTTTTCCCAGGGTTGCTGCTGCTGCTGCTGCTGCATGTGCCGCAATTCTCCAAGGACCATCACCAGCAAGAGAAAGAGTCCCTTTTTTGCCACGCGGCCCCGGCCTCTGCTGTCTATATTTTTTTGTATTTTTTTTATTTTGTAGTATTCTTAAATTTTATTCCTTGGTGTGATGTCAACATTTGCATTTACAGTTGTTTGCCTTGTTTATTGTTGCACTTGAGCGGCGGCGGCGGCGGCGGCCGAGGCGAGCACGAAAAAAGCAAAGTGAAAACATGGCAAATTAAATCTGCTTGAGTTGACAACACTTAACACCCCTCCTGCCCGCCGCTTCCTTCCACAAATATATACCTCTAATGCTCAGCGAAAGGGGGTGGGTGGGTGGTGTACAGTGTATGGGGTGGGGTGTGTTTTGGGCGGACAAACTCAATCAGTGTTGCTAATGCGCTGATTAATGACTTTTTAAAATGCGCCTAGCCTGGCGACCGTGTGCTGCTATTTATGAAATTGGCACATTATTTAAATATTTTTTTTTTTGTAACATACTTTGTGTGGGGTTAAGTGAATGTTGATGCATTTTTATATATTATATTTTAAAAAATATTTCTTTTGAGTTTAGTTAAAAGAATTAGCAACCTAATTTGTAAAGTATATAAAGTATTTGTATATTACATTAATTTCTGTTTTTTAAATGCTGCTTTTGACGGAGAATTTCTTTATTATTATTATTTTGTTTTTATTTATAAAGAGCTTACATTTAATTTAAAAAAAAATTAAGGGTCTATATATAATAAATATTTGTTAGAAAAATTAATTATTAATTTCTTGGCTTTTGCCTTCAATTAAAAAAAAAATGTTATAAATTATTTAAATGTCTTCCTTTTGAATGCTGATTTTGAGGGTTAATTTCTTTCTTTCTTTTTTTTTTTTAATTTACGAAGAGCCTAAATTTAATTTTAAAATAAATTAAGGCTGTATATAGGCTATTTATTTGTTAGAAAAATAATAAATTATTTATTTATCAATTTTCAAAATATTTATTAAATTTAAAAGTTATTATTTAAAAAAAAAAAAGAAATTCTAATAAAATTTTATATTACAAAGACCGAAGTTCTATGTAAAAAAACTTGCTTATATTTTTAAGCTTTAAAACAAAGAAAAAAATATAAATAATAACGCGGAAAAGGAAAGCCAGAGGGATAAAAATGCAAATAGCAATTTGTTAAACGCTTTTGTTGCCAGCCATAACCTCTTTTGTTTAAATGTTAATTACATAATTATGCATAATCATTTTTAATTTCATTTTTCCCTCGCTCTTTGTGTGTGTGTGTGTGTATGTGTGTGCGTTGATATTAACAGCTCATTAAAAGCGCAGGAGAAAAGAAACAGCAGAAGTGTATAATTAATGCAAGCGTTACAAACAAGGAGCAACAAAATTATGCAAAAATAGAAAAAAAAATACAAAAAAATTACATGCAGAATGGCGCAAGCAATTTGTAATTTGCAATTTCAGTTGCAATTTTTTTAGTGTTACATTTAGCTATTACATTTTATTTTAATGCTTTTGAAAATAACTAAATCAATATGCATTTTGCTATTTATTTTAACGGGTTTTTAATTTGAAAACTCAAGGATAACCGGAATCTATCGAATGGATTTGCTAGAAATAATTGATCCTCCTTTGTTTCCTTTTAATTGGGAGTTTTAAAATCTCGAGATTTCTGTTCAAGGATACTCAAGTCTCTCGAGAATATGTAAAAAAACACAAAAAATACAAATGCAACTCTGCTTCGCTCTCTCTCTTCCTCGTCCTTTGATGTGTGGTGCAAGTGCAGCGATTTCCTTTGACAGTTTCTTTTGTGCTTTGAAAGTTGAGAACTTTGGTTGAAAGTGGCAATTTCCCTGCAATTTTTAGGTAAATTCACACAATTTGAACATGCGGTGGAGTGCAATTTCTTTGCTCTTTTGCATTTTATGCATTTTACGAAAAGCACACTTTTCATTGTTTTTCGCTACGCGATTGTATCAAATGGTATTCACTTTGTTTTTCCCTTTTTTCGTGGGTAAATTAGCAGCGTGAGGTAAAAAAAAAAAAAAAACACACAAAAGAGGAAGCCGAAGTATAGAAAGGAGAAAGAAGGGGCAACCCAATTGCAAAAATGGGGGGAAAGACCAAAAAATAAATGCAGCTCCTAGTTTCGTCCTTGTCACACCTTTAAGCTAAGGCGACAAAAATTTCAAATCAAGTAGAAGTAAGGGAAAATTGCATTACCAGAAATACAATTTAAATTTTAAAAAAATTAAGAAGAAGTTAAAAATGTATTCCAAGTAAAATGTAATAATAATAATAATTAGTTTATATTTAGCTTGTTTCGATTGTGACGCTTTTGTCGCCTGGTCGTTGACTTTTGACAGTGGCTACATTTTTGGCAACTTCCAATATCCAAAAAGCCGCTCCAAAAAGTCAGCAAGTGCAAGGGAGAAGGAACGAAAGCAAAGCTTTTTTCCAGTGGCAAGTGTGCGAGAGAGAAAGCGAAACATGTTTGGCCATGTTTCTTTTTCTTTTTTTCAACGTGCAAAAAAAAAGACAAAAAATTAAAAAGAATAAAAGGGAAGAAATGCAAAAAAAAAAGCACACACACACACACACAATATGGAAAAGGCACGCAAAATGGAATGCAATTAAAAACGACAGGCAAAAAAACATAAAAACCCAAGAAGACTGCAAGGAGGGGGAGAGAGCGAGAGAACTTTTAATGGTGGCTTCGATTTGCCGTTGTTTTTGCATTTGCATGGCTGCTGCTGCTCAGCCCACTTCCCGTTTCCTTTTTCGGCTTCCCATCCTTGTAGTGCCTGCTAATGATTGCCTCTACCCCTCTTCTTCACCTCCCCTCTTTGGCTCTTTCTCGCCTCCTCCTGTCCCACCTCCTCTCTCTCTCTGTTCCGATTCCCGAGCGGCTTTTTTCAAGCTGTGCGCCATATTTGCACTTAATTGAAGTGTATTTGCATGTGTGTGAGTGTGCGTGTTTTGAGTTATTTGCGTGCGTTTTATATTTACTTGCAGCTCTCTCCTCTTTTTCCTCTCTTCTTGTTGCTTTTGTTGTTGTTGTTTCAGCCAATTGTGCTTGTTAATTTGATTTTCGCACACACACACACACAAGCACACACAGGGATGCAGGCAGAGACACACACAAATAGCCAGGATGCACTCAGAAAATGATTCATATGCACTCACACACACACACACACACTCACGTGCCTTTAACATGGCGGCATCTTGTGGCTTTTCAAGTGGTTAATGGAATAACGGGAGTCACAAATTGAAAATAAATAAGAAAAGGGGGGGAAACCACCTGCAAAATGGTCGATTTCAAGCCCTATAATTGCCTTTATCATGACAATTATAAAATTAACTGTCTCTTAATGATAATTATAGTTATTATAATTGTTTATTGAAATTAAATACTATATTATTTATGAATTATACCATTGATTATATTTATATTTACAGATAATCATTTTGAAGCAAATAATGTAAGTACAATGACTTTATTTTCCTTAAACCTTAAAAAAGTTCGATTTCAAAAGGATTTTAGTATTTTTATGTCTAAAATTCCAAAAACTGATTAAAATTTGTCTTGAAATATTTTGTTTCTATGAATTTTTATAAATTCTTATCAAGGAAATGGGTAAACAAAATTTTGTTAGGTCGATTATATATTTTTTTCCCAAATCGTTATAATTTGTTATACATTTCGAATATACTTATATAATTTAAAAAAATGGTAAATTATTCATAAAAATTATTATCAGTAGATATTTTTAATACTCTAATCTAAAAAATGGTTAAATATATTGGTAAGAAATAAATAAATAAGATTAGAGTGGACATAGATTATATGTGTTTTTCAAAAATTGTTATAATTTGTTATACATTTCGAATATATTTATTTAATTTTTGAAAAATAAATAAGTTCCTCATAAAAATGTTTATTAATTGAATACTGATATTTTGAATATTCTTTAATCGATTTCTGCATGTTATCGATAGGTCTAAAAACTATTTATTGTTTTTAAATTGTTCTAATTTATAGCACTTTTGATATCAACTCAAAACATTGTCTTTTTATGAGTAATATAATATTACTATATTCTTATATTCTATTTTTCTCATACCATCCCATATTAAAGCTTATAAAAAAGTCCCTGAAGTAGATGATATTATGTTAAGACTTCACTATGACCCTTATTAACGCCTTCAGAAGCGATGGCTTTCATCGCAACGAGCTGTTTGAAAAGTTTAATTTGCAATTTTGTGGCTCCACACCTCGTCTGACTCTCGTCTTATGCCCTCGTTTTTTTTTGTTTTTTGAGTATTTTTTTTTTGTTTTTGTATTTTTTGGAGTGTCGGCGAGTGCCGCTTGCCACGTTTTCTTACTTCTGTTTCCGTTTTTGTTTCGCTACTTGGACGTTGCAACTGCGATTGTGTGCACTCGTAATTATGTAATCAGCGGAGGCCTCATTACGTGTGGCAACACTTGCCAGGGCTTAAACAACAGCAAAGCCATTTTTACTCCCCATGGGGGGCGGGGGGGATGCCTTTATAAGGACTCGGAAGAAGAAAAAGAAGGAAAGTCGCAGACTCCCCTCGAATCGAAGACGACTTTGCCTTTGATTGCAATCTTTACGAGAGTGCGGCCATAAAAAATAAAGCCATAAAATGGCAGAAAGTCTAAAAGGAGACCTGCGCATCCTTTTGCTCCGATTCTGCATTGCTACGTGATGGAAACCCCCCAGTTTCCTCCATAAATAAAATGAACCCCAAAGTCGCATTCCAAAATGGAGAACTTGATTTACACAGATGTCTAGATCAAGGACTAAAAGGAGCTCTTTGGGGTTTGGAAATTCTAAAACAATCAGTGATGCAGCTCCCTAAAAACCATCTTTAAGGATATTTTCTAGCTTGAATCCTTCACCTTTAAATGTCTGTTTATATTTGCTTTTTTATAATTACCTGAATTCGATCCTCGGCCAGTCCCGTCTTCATCGACAACAGCTCCCTGGCGCTCACATCCGGATAGTGGGCCTCCTTGAAGGCCTTCTCCAGCTCCTCCAGCTGACTGCTGGTGAAGATCGTCCTTCCATGCCTCCGCTTATTCTTCTTCTTGCCCCCGGGACCCGTTCCTCCGGGACCCACAAGGACATCGCCTGCATGGGCACCCAGCAGGCCACTGGGATTGCCACCAGCACCGCCGGCGGCGCCAAGGAAAGCTGCCGCCTCAGCATGATGGACATGGGCATGGGCAGCATGGGCGGCATGGGCATGCACATGAGCATGTGCATGGGCATGAGCCTGGGCATGGGCATGATGGGCATGGTGGGCGGCAGCCGCAGCAGCGGCATGATGATGGGCAGCGGCCGCGGCAGCTGCTGCATGTTGATGGGCGGCCAAAGCGGCCGAATGATGAGGACCGGCGGGCGAAGAGCGATTGGCCGAGCTGCCGCTGCCGCTGCCAGCACCCGAGGTGGAGGAGCTGCTGCCACCCGAAACCGAGGCACTGTTAGCTGGCCCCGAACCAGAGCCGGAACCAGCAGCTCCAGAACTGCCAGCGCCACCGCCATTACTCGTCGTAGGTGAGCCCAGGTGACTCAAGCCATTGCTAGCCACCTGGTTGGCTCCAGATCCTCCCGATCCTCCAGTGCCCGATCCGGAGCCATTGCCTGATGAGTTGCTATTCTTGCTGGGTGATTGCTCATCGCCACTGGCATTGGCCAGGCTGCTGGCGTACTCCTGACCACGTGCGGCCGCTTGTTCTGCGGGGGGGAAAAAAAGGGGAATCAAATTAGAATGGATGCGTGGCTGGGCAGAGACGTAGTAGGGAGTATTTTAGAGGGGTTTTAAGTTTTTATTAGAAACTTCTGGTTGTTTACTAAATATTTGGCAAGGTTTTAAAATAATTAAACTACTTAAAAGTTACTTTAAAATATATTTATTACTAACATAAATATATCAATATTAGCCTTAAAAATTAGACCATTTTAAAAAACATTTTTGACCCTTTTTTTGTGGGCGCCTCTTTCTTTTAGAATTTCTGGCGCTCGCTGAACACATGTCGTAGGATGTGTGTTGTACCCCCCCCCCAAGATCCTTTCTCAAATCCTGAACCTAATCCCTGTCTCAATCCTATTTCCTTTAAATGCCAGACAATGGCCCGGACAGAGGAGATATTCGAGCTCCTGCCACCACCATCAGGCATCAGCATAAAAAGTTGATTTTTCGCACACGATAAAGCCGGCAGCTGGAAAATTGTTCCATGTACCATGTTCCATCCTTCGAGCCCATTCAATTGAATGTCGCGCAGATTTTGACAAGTTGCCGGGATTCTTATTCAAATGTCAGCGAAGGGTTAACCCATGTTTTCATGTTTCCATGCTTGCACCTTCCCAGAAAATTGAGAAAATAGCAACACACACAAGCACACACATACACGCTCAGTCAACAAACAAATGTTTTCCTTTTGGACCCAGGAGCTCCTTGTAGAAAGAAGGCAAAAAGGACGAATGTCGGAGTTTCGTGTGCAGGCTTTGTTTTGACAATTAGGGTGTTAGGGTGTTAAGTGGTTTAGCCCTTTTTTCGGTCTCAAATTAAACGGGAATCGGTTTAGGCGTGTTGGCAAAGGGCGTTCTATTGTGAGTGCCGATCCTTAAGGATAATAACGATAATTCCCCTCGTTCGATTTGTGGCTGGTTTCCGCCCACCTAATTTGACCAATATGTATCTATTAGTCCAAGATCCGATTACATTGTCTTAGTTAAAAGAATATAATAGGGTTTTAGGAGAACTCTAAATAAACCCTTAAAATTCCCAAGTAGGAATTCAGCAGACAACTCTACTTTAAGATGCTAATGATTATATTAAGCAAAAACTAACTAAAATTGATTACTTTTAATATTTATATGTATAACTACAAATTTAAAACAAAATATATTAGCTTATGAAATTCTTAATATTTTTTTTAAGCCCCATCATTGTCTTAATAAGAAAAGAACTCAAAATAAACCCTTAAAATTCCCAAGTACGAATTCAGCAGACAATTGCTTTAGGATGCTAATGATTATATTAGTTAAAATCTAACTAAAATTGTTTTATAGGTTGTTATATTAATATTCCCACTACAAATTTAAATCAAAAAATAATATTTTATACATTTTTAAATATTTTTTAAAGCCTCCTTATTGTCTTGATAAAAGAACTCAAAATAAACCCTTAAAATTCCCAAGTACGAATTCAGCAGCCAATTGCTTTAGGATGCTTATGATTATATTAGTTAAAATCTAACTAAAATTGTTTTATAGGTTGTAAAATTTATAAAACTACCAATTTTAAACAAAATATAATAGCTTTAGATTTTTGAAATATTTTTTAAAGCCTCATTATTAGATGACTGACCACTTAGAGTCATTCACTCCCTCACCCACCATCATCATCATCAAATGAAACTCTGGTCAACTTTCCAATAAATTAGGCACATGCCATAGCAAACTAATTTGGCCCTACGCATCCTATTCAGTTCTTTATATATAGAAAATATATATATATGTATGTAGATGTAAATAGCTCGAGCAGTGCTCGTTTGAGCGTTGCTTTTATTGCCTGGCTACTTTGGCGGCATAATTAGACACACATCAATTAACAATTAGCTGGTCAGCGAACGACAGCTGACCACTACCCCCGACCCTGGCTATACCAGACTATATATATATATACATATAGACATGTATAGATTGACTCAACCAGAGTCAGAGCCTCGCAAAACTGCTTTAAAAGCATTCGCACACTTATAAATAGCCATTATATTGCCACATAGGGTATATATATATTTATATATATAAATGTATATCGGAGAACGGTGATTGAAGCGGGGGACTGGTTGAGTGGTCAGCCACTTTGGCCAGCTATCGATGTCGTCTACACTTACAAAAAAACCTAAGAGTATTTTTTCAAAGAGCAAATTAAAGCCTTAATACTTGAAACTTTGAAATTATAAAGGAGAAAGTTGTGTTTAACCGAGAAATAAATTTAAAAATAAATAAAAAAACATATAAATATATATTATTAGTAATATATTATATTATATTAAAGAGATATATATTTTGTACTATATATTAAAAAATAAGATGGATAAACAGCCTCTAAATAGAAAAATCTTTCATTTGAAACATCATTTAATGACTTAAAAGAATTTCTCTCAGTGTTTTGCTCTCGTGTCTGAGTCCAGCCTCGAGTTGAGTTCAGTTCTGAGTTCTGTTCGGTTCGTCAACTAATTTAATTTGCTGCTCGGGTAAGTCTATCGGGGCATGAGTTGCTTGATTTTCCGTCATGCGATATTTTGTGCAGAGGAGAGAAGCCTCCACCTCTCTCCTCTCGGGCCGCATTTTGCCATCATTTTCATCCTCATCCATTTTCATTCCCATTTCGCTGAGTTTTCCTCTCGTTTTCCGCCTAAATTAATTTGATATGTACACTCCGGTGTAGAGTAGAGTTCTTTCTTTCTGTCGGGGGGGGGAGGGTTTTTGCGGGGTGAAATGTATACGAGCCTTGGGCCCAGAGTCCTTTGTGTGTAATGGTCCTGGGAGGGAGATCCTTGGACATTGGCCTGCCTGCCATTGTGGCTCGATTAATTGTTCAATTAAGCAATATTTTGATCGAATGGCTTTTGTTCCATGAATTTCATTAACTGCCCAACGAAGCGGTCACGATAATATGCCAATTTGTTGTGGGTTAGATTATTGCCATTTGTAACCTGTCAGGAGAATTTAATTGCCAATAATTGGAGGGAACGAAAACCAATGGGATTTGGTTAAAAAACTAAGATTGTTAATAAATTAAAACATAGTACATCCTATTTATTGACTTTAAGTATTCCCCTTTCTCAGGATACTCCCTAAAACTTGGCCACATTACTCCATATACTATTTATTGTTTTAATTTTTGCCTGCCACTCCTTTGAATTTTCCTAGTTACATACATATATATTCCCATTGAGTGAGTTAAATTTATGATTCCAACTTCCTGCACACAACTCGTCCTGGATAAATGGCAGCCATCCAAGTAGCAGGACTTGGAACTCTTAACCCAACCCATAAAAAAAAGGGACCAAGGACCAATGACTAGGACCCCCCGCCAACGTCCACAGACGAAATGTAAAATTACCAATAAAGTCAAATTGAAATTGCCAGACATATTAATAAAAGCCAACCAACCAACCACCGCCATTGCCAGGCACCACCACCATTTGGGCATTTGGCAACAGGAGTAAAGTACTCCACGGGCACAGGAGCTGGATCTATGCCTCGTCTTGGGCCTCCTTCCCATTGCGATTACACTGTTGGAAATTTAGAAATTTAACTGTTTACAATATAAATAAGTAAACTTAATATTTTTGATTATTTTTCTAAATCAATTTCCCATATTTTTATTTATATTTCTAAATAAATTTTCTGCCACTCATTTTTTTATAAATTATTTTTCTAAATACATTTCCTGTTACTCCTTTTTTATATTTTTTTTTTTTCTAAATAAATTTCCTTCAACTTCCATTTTTTTTATTTATTTTTCTGAATAAATTTGCAGCTCCTTTTTTTATTTTTTTTTATTCTAAATAAATTTCCTGCCCCTTTTTTAATGTATTATTTTTTTTAAACAAATTTTCTGATACTCCTTTTTTATTTATTTTTCTAAATACATTTCCTGCCACTACTTTTTTTCTAATTTTTTTTCTATATAAATTTCCTTCTACTAATTTTTTTTTTATTTTATTTGCCTAAATACATTTTCTTCTACTCCGTTTTTTTTTATTTTTCTAATTTCCTAAATAATTCCCTGCTAATTATTTTTTTTGTTAAATAATTTTTCTAGATACATTTCCTTCTACTCCTTTTTTAAAATTAATTTTCCAAATAAATTTTCTGCTCCTTTTTTTAATTTTTTAAATATAATTCCTGCTACTCCTTTTTTTTAGTTTTCTAAATCATTTTTCAGCTACTTCTTTTTTAAAATTTATTCTTCTTAATGAATTTCCTTTCTTATTTTTTATTTGTTGACAAGTCCTTGCCCTTTTAGGTATGCAACACATTTAGTGGCATAAGAGTTATATATTTCCAGCATAGTTCAAAGGCTTTTTTCCTTAATTTTTCCTATATTTATCCTTATTTTTTTTTCTATTTATTTTTTTTTCGAGTGCAATCCATTGCGTAGTCGAACGATTTAGTAGATGGGCCACGCGGGTGCCACCAAGGAGCAGATGAAGCAAACGGAAACTGACGCCCCCTTAGGCAACCATTCGCCACCCCTCAACCCCCTTTCCACCTCTTATCTACGATTTATATTTCCCTCCTCTTGGCTTCCCTTTTTGCATTTTTTTTTTTCTTCTCCTTGCTTTTAATTTTATTTTCACCGCCGAGAGGGAAAAAGAAGAAAATTTCTGTTGACAGGAAATACACTCGAAATTGGCAATTTTGCATTTACGTTAATAATACTCAAGCGTATTTACTACTTACACTTACACAGGGCGATGCTTACGGGGTCGGAGAGGGGGTGGTGGGGTTGGACTGGTTGTCTAGGCGGAAAATGGGGACAACCGTTGGGTGGGTTTTTCTCGATTTTTTTCCCCTCGTTTTGTCTGTTTTTTTTCTCCTTTTTTTTTGGGTGGTCCCGAAATGAAAAGCGTATTTATTCGCGCCAAAGAAGGGGTGGTTATATGGGGCTTCTTGGGGGTTGGCTCGGCGCAGAAAGACGAGAGCTAAGTATAGAG